GATATGTTAATAATTAATTATTAATTTATTAGCCTAATATACAAGTATATTTCAGTATTATTTGAGAATATAATCATACTCCCGAAGTCATATCAAAATAAAAAAAAGCACGAAACTCATGGTATTAACATTATGAAGAATAAAAAACCTGGAGTATTGTATCACATTTATAATATTAATATATTAAATATGTATATTTTATGTTTTTGCTAGCAGAGATAGATAGTTTGCGTAAATTTATCATAGTGCGGAACATCCATATAATAATAAAAATAAAAATAATAAATATAAACTATCAAATAATAATAATAATAATAATAATAATAATAAATATAATAAATAAATTTAATCATTATCATATTAATTAGTGATTTAAAAAATCTATATAAATTTAAACATTTTCCAAAAAAACTTAAAGAAATAATTATTGAAAGGATTTCCTAACTTATCTTATAAAACCTAAAAACCCACCAAAAAAAAAAATTGTTTTTATCTTAAAAAAATTGTTTGGTTATATTAGATTTAACTCTTTTAAAGTGAGAGGGATTTATTTTTTAAAAAAAAGGAGGAGTTATAATCATTAATTAAAAACCAACACTTGGAATTATAAAATGAAATCCTTGTACTTCTCAACATGAAAATTATAACAATAACCCCAAAATTCTATATTGTATGTAAGTCTTGAGGAACAACACTGAATATGGACAATAACTTTGTATTTGCCATTATAGGTAAAAGAATAATTCTAAGCACTAATAAGGACAACATTGCTCATGGAGAAGTTAAGTCATCCAATGTAATATATAAGTATTAATTATATTTGTCAAAGTTAGGATATTATTATATTCTAAATTCAGAATTCAAGTAATTTCTCTGGACGAAGAATCTAATCTATAATCCACGTACTTCGGTAGAATCATTTTTATCTTCTTTCATACACCTTCATTTGAACCTGTAGTGAATAGATTGAGAACAAAAATTTATACATTAGAATTAAACTATAGTTTTTTATAATTTATTTATATGGAATGACAACTTTAATATTTTAAATAAATATTAAGTATGAAAGTCTTGTAAAACATATAATTAAATAATTAATTATAAATTATTTTTTAAATAATATGATTGAGTTAAGTCAAAGTATACATTTCATTTATTAGCATAAATTCAGATAAGATTTATCATATGTTCATGTGAGATAAACTCATTTATTATTTTATTCGTGCAATTTTCGTGTCATATTTGTACATAATTTTTTTTTTTGGTAAGCAGTACATAATTTTAAATAGAATTAAATTTTTAATTTTAAAAAGGGTATCAAATTCCTCAATATCATTTTTTCAAAATTACTATTGAATAATGGAATTATTATATATTTTATTGATGAGATTAATGTTTATTCTTTTAAATAATATATAATTATGTCATATTAATCAAAGTTATTGTGTTTTATAGTGAGAGAAACATAAATCACGGGAGAAAAAATGAGAAATTTTTTTAATTTAAATATTAAATTAAAATTAATAATTTTAACTAAACTAACTATTTTTTAGAAGGACAAATATTTTGATAATCTTTAATAAATAAGAGAAATGATGACTAATTTTTGTGTAAAAAAGAAATATATTGCTCTATGTATATATGGTTGTCTCTCTGTTTTGAGTGATGCTATTTTGTTATTTTTAATTTACATTCTCTTATATTCATTCAGTTAAGTTCTAAAGAAATATATATACTGTATATAATATATCAAATACATATATCAATTTAAAAATGTTTTTCTTGTAAAATGATTTCTTTTTGAAATGGATGCAATTTTTTTATTATGATATAAACTAGTATAATTTAAAAGTAAATGTAAATTAAAAAAGAATTCTTCAACTCCAAAGCAATACTAATTGTATTTATTATAATAAGAGAAATTCTTAATCCTCAATATACATATTAAATACAATAATAAGTTAAATTAATTTTATAGAATAGTTAAATAATAATATAAAAAAGTACTCCATTGTTTTAATAGAAAAACATTAAACTCTTTATTTAAATCAAGACAAACCGCTACACTTTTATGGGGATGACGAGACAGTAATATATAATGATCATATGATCCTTTTGATTGGTGATGGGATATGTACACAGTAAGAGATTCTTTGTCTAAGAGGTTGTGTGATGGAGGTTAAGTGAAGGAAGGTGGGTGAAGCGTTATGGTTACTTTTCATAGATATTTTTTGAATTTTGTGTGGGTGGATGGGCCATTGTCATAATATGGAAAGGGTTGCAAAGAAAGAGAAATCACATGCAAGCAAACTAAGTCACACATGTTTAGGGTATGACCCAAACCCGTTTCAGTCACCTCTCATCTTTCTTTGTCACGACACCTCCAATTGTCACGCGCTACAAGGGTTTGCTATTCTCTGCAGCAATCCTATCGTGCTGCCTAGTTTTTTTTTTTTTATGGTACAATGCTGCCTTGTTTATAAGAACTAAGATTCTATTCAATCTTTGTGTTGTGTGTGTGTTTTTTTGGTTTATATTTATCTTATATTGTATCAAATAAATAAGTTTTTTACACATACAAGTGAAAGTAGATCTCACATCTATTTTTTTTTTGCTCCTCTTACGTATGAGTTTCATTTATAATTTTATTTCTATAATATGAGATAACCATTTTCTTACAACATAAGATAAATATAACCTTTTTTGTAGGAAAATTATTTTCTTATTTTACGTGAGAAATTTTTTCATGTTACGCACAAAATATATAAGTGGGTCTTATTTTATTTTTTGTCTTCTCATTTTTTGTGGATCCCATTCATGTATTGTGTTTGTAGCATGATTTTTTTTTTTTATGTGAAATAAGAAAATTAATTTTTATTTTATTTTATATAATATAACCTACTCAAGATTTGAAAAGAGAACTCTATTAAATACTATATAAGATGTATTACTAAAATGATGTTAAAATCATTAAGATGAGATAATCTGTGTTAACAATATTTACAATTTCATGAAAGATATATAAGAAAATAAAATATGCAACAACACAAAATTAAAATATAAGGTATGAAAATATATGAATGCAACAAAGAAAAATCGATTTGAGCTCAATATTAGATACTGTGTCCTTAAGATAATTTTGTCCTTCATCTCCTAAGATAGTACAAATCATCTATATTCTTGTGGTGACACTTTTATATTAAATAACTTCATTGAGTTCAACCTATGTCTGATCAATCTGACTAGAATAAAAGAATATAAATGCAAAAAATTTACAAAACGGGAAAAAACTCTTTTCTTAAAATTCTAATTCTTATCTATTTATAGAAAACGTAAGTTTATGATTTAAATGACACTTATTCAATAATAAAGTAACATATCTGTTCGAGAAAGACACACCTTTTTTTTTTTTTGATAACACAGAAAGACACACCTTTTCTCATCAAATTTATTATTCATAAATATAATTAATTTAAAATTAATTATAACAAGATGTTGATAAAGGCCTACTTAGATAAAGCAAGTATAACTTTATTTGTATTGCAAACTAAGAAAAACACATAGTTGATATTAATTATTGTATACAAAGTATATATGATACTCGAAACGTCACAACCCTACTTATAAACAGGCAAAAAAAAATTTATATATTGACAACCAAACAAAGGAAGTCTTCTTATACGAATTCTAAACCAATTCTAAACCAGTGTCAACGTGAAGGGAATGTTGGGGATGGAAATAAAAAATAATGTTTTAAGTGAAGAATTCCAATCTTTAAAAATTCAATTACTTTCCTTAACAAAGTTAATTTTATAATATATTGTTCGTTTAAGTTCAAACTTCAACAATAATATATAATAATACTCATGTATGATTTTGTTAATGATAATATGGCATCAGTACGAAATTTAATCAAAAAAATATTGAGATGTGTTTTTAGTAAAATTAAGAATTATTTTTTGTACTTTTGAATGAGACATACTAATTTTTGTTAAGCTGTCAACTTGTCTTAATAAGGTATTTTTTATAAATTTCAAACTTTTGTTGTGATGTATGCAACTAGGGACACACGTGTATTGACTTTAGATATTTATAATATTATATATAAAAAAAGAAATTATTTTTTCTTCTTACATAATAAGAATTATGAGAAAAAACATTCTTATGTTGTAGGAGAACTCTCTTCTTATGTTAGTGATGGTTCATTTTGCGTGCAATAATTTTTTTATTTTTTTATTTTTATGTGTGGATCCCACCATAAATTTGAGTGTGCAGGAGATTTATTCCTCTCTAATAGCATGAGAAAAATATTGCCCAAAAATTATTTCATCTAAAAGTGATAATATCATAAGACTTATAAACAAGATGATAGTAAAAAACTAAAAATAAGACCCATACCTATTTTATATCTGTAGAAAGTAGAAATTTAACTTCTTTAGTGTAAAATAAAAAAAATATAACTTATTTATATATAACATTGACATAGATTCTTTAATTTTAGGTTTGATAGATATATATATTTTTGGATAACATCGAGGGTGACTCTTAGGGCCGGTTGGTACACGGATTTTTTTCGGATTTCTGGGAAATTGAAATTTTTAAAATTTTAAATTTTCAGATATTATCGTAAACTGAATGTAAAAATGATATTTTTAAAAATCGAAATTTTCGGACAAATAAAAATTTCTCCTGTATCAAACGCTCCCTTACACAACACTCTAATCCCAATCCACGGTGCACCAGAATATTGGTCCTACATGGCGCGTGGATAGAGATAGACTCTCTTTTTGACAATCCCCATGGACCCAAACATCCCCACTTCAAGTCCTTATTTAAGTCTATAAATTTATTTTTTCTTTATTTTTTTAATTATTTAAATAAACATATTATTATAATTGTTATGTCAAAAAATAAAATATTCAGTATTATCCAAAACAAGAAGTGCCTTTTTCTGTTCAACTTTGTTTGCTCCTCACCTCTTTCCTAAATCCAGAACCATGACATAGCATCGTCATCATAATATCACAACCCAAGAAGGAGAGAGAAAGTGTAAGGAAAAAAAAAAAAAAAAGTCTTTTTTTAGAGAGAGAAAGAGAGTATAGCCCTAAAAAAAAAAGATTGCAACAAGATAAAGATTTTTTTTTTTTTTCGTTTTTATTAACCTATTTCTCCATTGTTGCCGAGTAATTTGCTTTGCCAAGCTTGCTTCTTTGCACTCACACAGTGGTTTTCTCACCTCTTCCTCTGTGTAACCACTCTTCATTTTCCTCAAGAAATTCAATCACTACCTTTCATTTCTTCACAGGTGGAACTGTGGATGTGCACCACAGCCTTTTGATCCTCTTCACAAATGTCAGTATGATTTCTTTTCATTTCTCTCTCTCTCTCTCTCTCTCTCTCTCTCTCTCTCTCTCTATATATATATATATATATATATATATATATATATATATATTTGAGTCCGTTCATAGATTTGGGGTGTTGAATTTTCAACCCAATTCACAAAAGTTTATAACTTTACATTATCAAAAAACATCACGGCATTGGGCTTGAAGTAATTCATTAATTTTTTTTATTTTTTTTTTACTTTTTATTTTTTGGTTGTTGGGATGGATGGTTGAGCTTTGTACTTAATGGGTATGGGGTTGCCTGAGAAATTGCTTTGTGTTTAAGGTTTATAATGGGTGTTGGTAAGAGTGGACATTTTTATGTTCACTTGTCCTTTATCTTTAACGTTATAGTTTGGTAAGCTTTTCATTTTGTCCTCTCTTTAACATGTACGTATTACTAGTGGAGAGAGCGTGGATGCCTTCTTGGCTTTCCATCTTTTTTTTATCTGATCTATCTTCTACTTTATAGTTGTCTTCTACACGTGTGGGTGCATTTGAGTCTTCTTGGGTCCTTTTATTTTTCCTTCACATGTATATTTTAATGTGTTGCCATCATTGAGAAACTTTATCTGCTGGAAGCTTTCCTATTTTGATTTAAAGGACTTTTAGTTCTTCTTCTCAAGCTACAGTTACAGCTGATATAATATAATTACTTTTTGACTCTCTTGTTGGTCATTGTTCATTGGATTTCTTACATTTTATGGTATTCTGATATGTGGATATTTCTTACCTCCAAAATTTGTCACTGTACTGTATTTGAGAACAGAGCTAGGTGATAAGTTTTGGTGTATTGAATATTGGGGGTCAAAGTTTATTGTGAAAGATTCTTAAGGCATTTGAAGTAAATGCATGGATCGTGGGGACCAAATGGCGTTATCTGGTTCTGCATCTTACTATATGCAGCAGAGAGGAATAGCTGGTTCTGGAGCACAACCTGAGTTGCATGTTTCACCTAGTCTTCGTCCACTGTCTAATCCCAATCTATCATTTCAATCCAGTATTGGTGGTGGTACCATTGGATCCACCTTACCATTAGAATCTTCTGCGATCTCATCTCATGGTGTTAATGTGGGTGCTCCTTCTGGGACTCCACCTGGGGAACCTGCTAAAAGGAAGAGAGGAAGGCCTAGGAAATATGGTTCTGATGGAAATGTGTCATTGGCACTGACTCCAACATCATCTAGTCATCCGGGAACCTTGTCGCAAAGTCAGAAACGGGGCAGAGGGCGCCCACCGGGGACTGGGAAGAAACAGCAGTTGGCTTCTCTTGGTAAATCTCTATTGCAGCATTTAGTTTGTCTTGTGTTTGAATCTAGAGGGCATGGGTTTGAATCTAGGGATTAACCTCTTTGCAAATATTATATGGGTAAGGTTATGTATAGGGATTTCCCTCAACCCTACCCTCACAAGCCAGGGTTTAATAGGAAATGGTTTTTGGTTTATGTGTGTAGTTTGACTTAGTGTAGCTTTCATATAGACTTCATTGTAGCGGCTATCCCGCTATCCTGCAATAGCCGTTTTGGGGTTGGCCACTATGTGACACTGTACGAGATTGATAACTATGGTGTGGATGTGAGATGAATGCACATAACAAATTGGGTAATATAATTATGCTATCAATATTGAATTGTGCACTTAAATATGCAATAGGTTGAGCATGGGATATAATACTGAAGCTCATAAAGTTGTAGACTTGTAATAAGCAAAGTTGCAAGGGCACAACATTTGAAAAGTAATGAAAATCTTAGCATGACAGACAAGATATTTATATTTGTATTTTTTTCCTACAATTTGTATGATTAAGTATGACCAACTTGATTATTAAAGTTTGTATGCTTTATATTTCTTATCTAGACTGTATTTCTTTTGATGAAGATTACAGCTTATATTTCACTTTGGAAAGGCCTATAACCCATCTGTAGGCCTGGTAGAGGGGCCTCCTTGGGCCCAAGATTACCATTTACCTGAAGTGAGTTATAATTCCATATATATATATATATATATATATATATATATATATATATTCTAACTTACTAGTTTTTTCAGGTATTTATCATAATGGTACATGAGTTGCTAAGTTCTCTGTTTGCGCTCTCTTACGTAGTGAATGTATAATATGACCCAGGTTTGATTTTTCTGTTAAGGAGGATTCACCCTAGAGGATGGATATATGTTTATGTTTTTGACATTTGAGTGGTTACATATTGCCAGGTGAATTGGTATCTGGTTCGGCTGGGATGGGATTCACTCCTCATATCATCCATATTCCAAGTGGAGAAGTATGTCGCAAATTTTTATGAATTTGAATCTACTTGTGTTATATGTTAAGATTGTAAGGAAAATATATGCAAAAGAGACAAGCGAAAAATAATACTCTAAATGATATTATTTTGTTAGTTTAAGATTCCTAAAACTATTAAGAATCCTGATATTTTTATACATGTAATCAAATATTACCTTACGAATTTCTGTCAGTATTTCTGTTCTCTTATTTACATGAGGGTTTATATAAAACATCTGTTGGCATCTCTGGGCCGACATAGGTGACACTATGTACAATTGGTCTCTTGAAATAATGATAAAACTAATTGTATTAAATACTAAACAGATGTTCATAATAATTCCATTTTTCTCTTAAAAGGAAAATTCAACTTAGTGAAGCCAAAACCAAGTATTATGATTAGAGGTGGCAAAGTGGGCGGCCCGCCCCGCCCCACCACGCAATCAACCCGCCAAAAAATGAGTCAGCCCGCCCCGCTTTTGAAAGTGGGCTAAAAAACTCAGCCCGCCCCGTTTGGCGGGTTGGCCCGCCAGCCCGAGCCTATTTTACACTGACCCGCCTATGCCCGCCATCAACCCGCCAAAAAATGAGCCCGTCACGCTTTTGAGATGGGTTGAAAAACTCAGCCCGCCCCACCCTGTTGGGCGGGTTGGCCCGCCGAGCCGAGCCCGTTTTATCGGCTCTAATTATGATGATATTGATTTCTACTGTAGTAAAGAAGAAAATAATGTGGGACTTGCCTCAAAATTCATTTGTGGACATATGTACTCAATTTACTCTTTGGTGGTACTTTTAATTAATGATTTTAAATCATGATAATGATTGTGCCATTTATTCTAGTATTCATGTAAATATTGAAGAATTACTCTTTCGAACTTTTTTTTTTTTTTCTGTAGGACATTTCAACAAAAATTATGGCATTCTCTCAGCAAGGTCCTAGAGCTGTATGCATTTTGTCAGGCACTGGTGCTGTATCAACAGTGACACTTCATCAACCTGCAACTTCAGGTGGCACTGTCACATATGAGGTTTGACACTTTCTTAGTGTTATGTACTTTTTGATTTGGATACAGTTATGGGTTCATTTGGAAATGCGATTACATAAAGACACATATACCGACATATACACATAACACCGTGCACATAACGAAATGGAAACCCTTTATGGAGGTACTATGATTGATTGATTAAAAAATTCGTTTGTTATGTTGGAACTTGGAAGACTGCATTGAGTAATCTAATCATGCACGTAAGTTAAGACTAGCATTAGTACACTGCAAATTAAGACTGTGATGTTGCTACTTTTAAGATTGTTTTAAATCTCTGCTTTCGTACATGTGTTGTAGCTCTTCCATAATGCTTGCCTAATTGAAACCGAGTTGTAAAGTTCAAACATGAAATTTATTGGACAAATGATTCATAAATAGTACATACATACATGTATGCATACATATATGCCTATGTAGCACAAATAAGTTTCAATTTTGCATTCTACTGAAACAAAATAATCTTTTGCCGTTGAGTCATTGACTTTTTGTTTTGTTTTATTTGATATTTATCCCTCTTTGCAAGTTACGACATTCTATCATGATAAGGTTATATATATATATATATATATATATATATATATATATATATTTAATTGTTGGTGGAATTTTGGCTTTGATAGGGGCGTTTTGAGATATTGTGCCTGTCAGGATCTTTATTGCTTACTGATAGTGGCCGAACTGGTGGAATGAATGTTGCCCTTGCTAGTCCTGATGGTCGTGTCATTGGGGGAGGGGTTGCTGGTTTGCTTATTGCAGCAAGTCCTGTTCAGGTAACAACATTTTTAGTGCTGTCATAACATTATATCTTGAAATCATCTCTCATAGCCACATGTTAAAATCAAAAGTTTCCAGCTACTTACTGCATATAAAAGTTTAAGATTTTAGATCTGTTCCCATTCCCCTAGTTTTCTTTTGGATGGCTAGACTAAATTAGTGATACTATAGGTGGTAGTTGGGAGCTTTCTATGGGGTGGATCAAAGACAAAGAAGAGGAAAAGGGAAGGCTCAGAAGGTGCAGAAGTTGGTGTTGAGTCAGATCATCAGGGAGTTCATAATCCAGTTGCACCAAATAGCATTTCACCAAATCAAAATCTCACTCCAACCTCTTCTTTAAATCCTTGGCCAGCATCACGTCCGGTTGATATGCGTAATTCCCATGTTGACATTGATTTAATGCGTGGGTGACATATACACAAGTAATACTGTGTATATTTTTGAGATTCATGGTCACTTATCTAATTTTCTTGTGGTAGTGTAATGACAGAATGGGATGGGAATTACCAACAACAGAGTAGAGCCAGCTGACTTTTGCAATTGATAAATCTTACTTATCCACCCATCTTTGACTTGGGGTTGTACTCATATTTTTGTAGCTTTGAGGAAGTTTAATTTTGAAGATTTCATATTCCTGATTGGTAATGATACAATTTATATCCTATTTGAAATAAAGAAAAGAAAAAAAAAATGACATTGGGCTAGATGTTTTATGTGGTTTAGGAGCATCAATTATGACATAATCTCTGTGATTTTTGTCATAGAACTGTCTTCTGGAAGGCAATGACAAGGGGTACATGAACATGCTATGCTGTCAAGTTTTCTTCAGCCTGGAATTATTGGGGAAGAGTACCTGAACTGGTAGCAACAAGAACTACTCTTGGTCTCATGGTTGTTCTCTTCCATTGTGTAGAGGTCATGAGCTTGGGATGGTTGTGATTTGGAAGTGAAGTTTTGTTTCATATTTTACAGAAACTAGTGGTTTATTATGCTTCAACGCATAATATGTTGCCATCTATAATGATGGTCTTCAAGTATTTTCAAGATGAAACCTTATTCCATCAGTGAAATTGAAGTCCTGTCAATGAATCAAGAAGAGAGGTTAGAAAAGCACCAAAAGAACTTAGTATCACTAATTTTGATACAAGAATGATCTAACCAAATCTTTTGGTGGTAGCTTTCAAGGCTGAGGCTGAGACAACAATGTTTATTTCATAGGTCAAACTTCAATTACAGGGAGATTTTCAATAATTAATGCCTCCCAAAACTTTCACTTTTGCGTAAACAACCCCACCAAGATCCACCTTTGCATAAACCTCCCACCAACGTCTCCCCCATGAGCTCATTTTCTAGGAGTACATACTTGCCCAAAAATGAAAAAATGTGGGATATGAGTTGAAATAAAAATAAAGGCAAGGGTAGTCTAAAAGTGTTATTTTTTACTATATTTGATAAAAGGAGTACCGAGTACTCTGTTCTTCTGAAGTACTGAAAATATTTTCCTCCACCATAGTATTACTGTACTAGGGACTTATGTACAAATTATCAACTTTTATTTTTCTTGGGGAAAAATTGAATCCAGACAGATTTTCTTTCTTCTACCTTCCACCGAAATATTTTGAATACTACTGTTGCACTGTTGATTGGGTGCGACAATCCAATAAAAGTGCTTCATTTTCTGTGTCATAGGTGCGGATTAAAAAAAAGAAAAAAGAAAAATTTAGGTGTAATTTTTTAAATCGCAGTTGCATGTGCTACGGATGTATGAAAATTGTTCTCACCTTCCACGTTCTTATCTCTCTCCAAAACTAACTTTTATCACATGGTTTTCCAAATGCTTCTAACATATAAAGCCACGTATTTTGTTGCCCCTCACCCATGGAGTGCGATAAACAAATGGCTGACAATGCGTAAAAACACGTCGTATGCTACTACCGTATTTGGAGGTAGTACCAAACTAAAGTCTTGAATTATATTTTTGAGTGTTTCTAAAAGTTATTCTAAGTGCCTGTTTGGATCCTTTTATTTTTAAGCTAGAAGCTACTTATAAGCTAAAGCTAAAAAAAAGAGCTTAAAAAAATAAGCTAAAAGCTGTTTGGAAATTACATAAAAGTTTTAGCTTAAAAATTACTTAAAAGCACATATTTCAAGAAAATTATCTCTTTCTATCTTTATCACTCTTTATTTTAAAAAAAAGCACACAATTCAAGAAAAACAGATAAGAGCTTAAAAAAAAGCTCCTCCTAGGAGCTTTTAATTTTCAGCTTTTTTCTTCATTATAAAAAAAAGAGCTTTTCGTTATAAGAGCTTTTCCCAAAACCTGTTTGGCCTAGCTTATGCTTATAAGTAGCTTGTAGCTTAAAAAAAAGAGGATCCAAACAGGCAGAGTATGATTATTCCTCTAAAGAGATGTTTTGTACTTAAAAGTTAAAACATGAATGTGGGGTACTTCAATTAAAGTGACATATTCCATATCAATACAGCAGTTATTTGAAATGTAAATTTACATTAAACACTGCAATAAGTATTATTGTCACTGTGGTTGGTTTCTACAATATAAAAGGAGAATTTTGGTATGTGGAGTACTTAACAGGCAAATAAATATTGAATCTAGATTTGATATTTTATAAATAAAAGCATTAGCTTATGTTAGTTGATATTTTACATTAGAATGTAAACATACATTTTAATGGTAATAAAAAAAACAGAGAGAAGAAAATATACATACTGATATACATGATACATAGAGAATGATAAATAAAAGTTCACCAAATAACTAATGTCCAATAAGAAATACAGAGTTGCATTTCTTTAATATCAAGCATCTGACCATGTAATATCCAGGCGACCCACTAAAAATTGGGTTGTTTCTTGGTCTTGTGGAGATAGTACTTGTCCTGTTTGCAGGCAAGTAGATGAGACAATTCTTCATGCTTTGCATGATTGTTCGGTGATTCGTGAATTATGGTGTGCTTTAATTCCTTTAGCTCTTCATGATGAATTTTTTCAGGGCGATTTATTTTTTTGGTTGCGTGATTTTTGATTCCCTGAGAAGCTTGATATTCGTAATTGGTCTTCCTTTTTCGTTAATTTCCTATATCAAATTTGGTATTGGCAAAATCAAGTTGCTCATTCTGATATGGTGGCTGCTCCATTACAACATTCTATTGCCTTTATTCAGCGTCAGTTTGTGGACATGATGGATACTTTTACATATGATATTCCTTATCCAATTGATATTTTAGTCCGTTGAGAATTTCCAACATTTGGGTTTTTTAAACTTAATAGGGACAGTGCTGCAAGAGGATCTCCAGGTGCAGCTGCCTGTGGGGGTTTGTTCCGCAACTCTTATGGATCTTGGCTCGTGGGGTTTTTTTTTGTCTCGCATTGGAATCTGCAATGCGCTTACATTATAATTGTGGGCGGTTTGGAATGGTCTTAATATTGCTTGGCAGAGAGGTTGGCATCGACTAATTCTTGAGAGTGATTCCACTTCGGTGGTTGCTTTGCTTACCAAATGTGGTGGTGCAGTTCGCGGGTCTCGCTTGATGACTCAGATACGAGCATTTCTTGATCGTGACTGGCAGGTTTCGGTTATACATGCATTTAGAGAAACCAACTGTTGTGCTAATTTTTTAGCTAATCTTTCCCTCAATAATTCTGGATTTCAAGATGTTGTTATCTTTGACGAAGAGGCTCGCTGAAACTTCTTTTCCAAGCGGACGTGACGAGCATTCCTTATCCTTGGAAAGGAAAAGGTTAATCTTTTATTTTATTTTATGTCTTTATTTCTTTGCTTTGTCTTTTATTCATTTTCATGTATCCAATAAAAAAAAATCCAGGCTATCCCTTTGATGTTGGGGCACAACTAAGGCTTTCTATACATCGTTGGAGGCATCACTATGTTGTGGGACATGAAGTTGGTAATCATGGTCTTCATCACATCTCATGGTGAAGTCAAACTCATCAACCACCATGGCCACGACACTTCTTCCACTAGTACTGATTGTAATGTTATTGTGACACCTTCTCTTGTTTTTGAACCATCTAGTTTTGTGGTGGGAGAAAACAAGTGTCAAAGCTATTGTTATAGATCTTTGTTTCCAGAATTATTGTAGTTTGATTTGTTTGTTCAATTTCTATTTTATTTGAGATACTTACAATTGAAGTTGTGTATCTATATCTTAAGATTTTTTTGTTTGAAAAAATTATTTCTAGATCTGAACACTTTAGCCTAAATCCTAAACTAAGGATTTATGGTATTAGATCTAAATAGGAATGTGTAAGGTAGAAGTCTAATAGATTATATTAAGCCTTAGAGGAATATGGGCTTATACGTAAAAATTGGAGAAATGGATTGTTGGAAAATAGTGATACTATAGCATTAGTGAAGGGAACATGATCTCCAACCATCCCTATCTCATTAGAGTCATTCTTCACTCATCCTTAACTTCAGGGGGAGACAAGTTCAGATACTTCATCCGTTTTCTTTAAGATTGTGTCCCACTTACTTTTGCCCAGACTTCCAGAGTCAGACTCTATTGAAACTGCCCTAATTACTACACTACATGATAATGAACAAGAAGACTTAGTTGATAAGGCAGGTAGTTCATCTGATACTTCATCTGACATGCCTCCCTTAAGAATGTACTAAAGGCTGGGACAACCAAATTATTGTATAAGAGAAAAAATAACCCATATTGCTCCACCAGCAATGCAATTGCCTAAACTCTGAATGCACTACTATCTCTATTCCTGAGCCTAATATTATAAATTCTAATGACTTACCCATTGCCTTAAGGAAAGTGAAAAGGTCTTGTATTAAGCAATATATATCTCAGTTTGTATCTTTTGAGAAACTTTATGTGCACTATAAAAGTCTTATTTCAGCACTTGATTCCATTTTGGTCTCGACATCAGTGCACGAAGCATTAAAAATGAGAATTGGTTTCAAGCTAGGCATGACGAGATGAATGCCTTAAAGAAAAATAGAACATGGAAAATTGTTGATAGGCCAAGCAAAAAGAAAGAAGTGAGGTGCAGATGAGTTTATACTCTAAAATATAATGCAGATGCTACTCTTGACAGGTATAAGGCTCGTTTAGTAGCCAAGGGTTACACATAAACGTATGGTATTGATTACGAAGAAACATTTGCTCTGTTGGCCAAAATGAATACCGTGAGAGGTCTATTGTTCTTGGCCGCTCACTTTAATTATGTCTTAAACCAATTTGATGTTAAGAATTCCTTCCTCAATGGTGAGTTAGAAAGGGAAATTTACATGAAGATTCCACCGGGATTTGACTCCACAAATGGGGATAACAAAGTGTGTAAGTTAAAAAAGGTCTTATATGGATTGAAGCAATCCCCACGTGTTTGGTTTGGAAGATTTACCAAGGTTATGATATCATTGGGATATAAGCAAAGTCAGAAGATCATACATTTTTCTTTAAACACTCTCATGAAGGTAAGCTCACTATTTTTCTAGTTTATGTTGATGACATTATTATAACAGGGATGATACATTTGAGAAACGTGCCCTTCAAGAAATACTAATCGTTGAATTTGAAGTTAAGGACCTAGAAAATTGAGATATTTTCTTGGTATAGAGGTTGCTCATTCAAAGCAGTGAATCTTTATCTATCAGAGAAAGTATATTCTTGATCTCATTAAAGAAGCAGAAAAGCTTGGTTCCATTAGTAGATAAAGGGAGGGGGAAAGGATTCTTAGAAGTTTATACTGTAGAGAGAATTCTTCAATATGTTAAGGCCACACCAAGAAAAAGATTATTATTCAAGAGAAGGGGAAAATTATCCTTAGAAGTTTATACTGACGCTGATTATGGGGAATCTGTGACTGATTGACAATACCTCGGGCTATTGTATATTTCTTTGTTAAAACTTACTAACATGAAGAAATAAAAAGAAAATTATGGTTGCTAGGTCAAGTGTAGAGGCAGAATTTTTTGCCATAACCCAAGGTATTTGCGAACTGCTATGGCTAAAATTTATTCTAGATGATCTCATAATGAAATGTGAAGAACATATGAAGTTACTCTATGATAATAAGTCAATTATCAATATAACACATAATCATGTCCAACACAACCGAGCGAAACATATTAAGATTGACCGCCACTTCATCATAGAAAAGCTAGATAGTGGATTGATCATTACTCCATATATTCCTTCTGGTCGCCAACTAGCTGATATCTTGACCAATGGACTTCCCACCGACAGATCTCAAGAACTTACTAGCAAGCTGAGAATGATAAATATGCATTCCTTAACTTGGGAGTGTTGTAAATAAGGAAGATATATGTTATTATTTGTTTTCTTTATAAGTCAAATTATGTAAAAAAAAAATTAGTAACCAGATATTTTCCTTATTTTTTTAGGATTTGGGTTTATTCTTCTAGGCCCATTAGTCTCTTTATATATATATATTGTATTCCTTTGTACATGTTTTTTCAAGAATCAATGATATTCTTTTTCAGTTTTTCTCCCTTCAAGTATATCTTAAGATTTTTTTGATGGAAAACATCATTTCTGGATTTGAACCATTTAGCCTAAACCCTAAACTAAGGATTTTTGGTATTAAATCTTAGATAGGAATGTGTAAGGTAGGATTCTAAGAGATCATATTAAGTCTCAGAGGAATCAGAGCTTATACTATTGAAAATTGGAGAAATAGATTGTTGTCGTGTGTAATGCTAGAAAACAGAGAAGCTATAACATTAGTGAAGGGAACATGATCTTCAGCCAAGCTTATCTCATCAGATCTTCCACTTCTCAAGGATTGTGTAAAACTTGTCTTGAACTTCAACCCTTCTCCTATTTTGGAAAACCAAAAATATTTTACCTTCGTTGCATTTTACCTTACAACATTTAATGTTTCAGAAGTTGCTTGATGAATTGTCTGTATTATTCATTCTTTGTACAATCGAATCTACTTCTCAAACTCTAAATTCTTATAACTTTCTCTATGGGACGATATTTGTGACTCGAAGAATCCTATATTACTTGTGACGTGTGCTCCTGCAAGTAGTTATTGTAGTTTCTATTCCTTTTTTTCCTATAGCATTGTTGCGCTAACAATATGCTAATATCAAAATGACTTGAATGAGTAATGTCCTTTAAATTCCAAGATAGTTTGCTATATATTATTAGGGAAGAGTTAAGTTTACAACTTTTTTTGTTTACACTCTTTCAACCTTAACTATGTACTCTAGAGAGTACAAATACTTGATAACGTACTCCTCGGAATACATAGTTGAAATTGTAAGAATTGTAAACTAAAAAAGTCGTAAACATAACCTGCCCATATTATTAATTTCCTTAAATTTAAAGTTTTGCTAATTCCTAAGAGAGAGATTCATTTTATATTTTAAATTTTAGATAAATGAAAATTGGATTAGAATGACGACTATGATTTTAAATCTTTATCGATATATACCATTATACCTTTCCACATTTGTTAATGTGGAAGACATAAAACAACCATTGCCTAGTTCATTATTTAGGAGATCAGAATGTAATACTCAAGCTATTTGGAAAACACATTTTTCAATGTTGACAATTAAAAGTTTCTAACCAAGTATATAGTATATAGTCGCGTACATGTTTGTGTAATTGATAACGTGCATAGCATGGCTTAGCGCCATCATCCTACTATTCTCAAAACGTGGGATTTTTTTAATATGCTCCCGGTGTATAGATTTTTGGGAGCTCCTTTTCCAAAAAAAGAAAAATTTCCTTTCAATTAAATCCCTCTCTTCTTTTCAAATTTCTTCTCAGTCTTTTTTTCCTCCCATTTTTTGGATGAGGACCACCAAAAACTGAGCTCCAAAACGTGGCATCGTGGGGCCATGCTAACGGCAAAATCATGATAAATAGTTGGCTATAGCACCCTTCCTTAAAAGGCAGGGTAAAAATCCCTATTTGCCCCCATCCGTGCGTTGTACAAGTAGCAATTTCAGGGTTAAAAATGAATTTTCCACCCCTTTACCCTAATATATATTACACCTATCTTCAACATTGCAAAACCTTATCGAAACCCTTGAGCTTGGAGGCGCTCCTCTCTCTCTCTCTCTCATTTGTTCCATCAATCTCACTACTTGTCATTAGTTTTTCGGCGATTACTGTGTCCCAGTTCTGTAAGTCCAATTCTCATTGTGTTTTTTTCTTGTTTGTTTTGCCTTAATTTTAGGTAATTTTTTTTTATTTTTTAGTATTTTATATGTATTGTGTAATGAGGGTTAGCCTAGAGTAGTGGTAAAACGGCTTCTTTGTAACCGAGAGGTGATGCACTCAAATCTAGGGAATAATCTCTTAACAACAAATAGAGAGGTAAGATTGCTAACAAGAATTTCCCTCGCCCCTACTCTTATATGTTAGAATTTAATAAGGAGTGATTCTTGATTTATGTGTGCGGTATAACTTAGTATAGCAATTATATAGACTTCACTGTAGCAGCTATCTCACTATCCTGCTATTGTAGTTTTAAGGTTGGTCGCTACACGACACTATATATGGTGTGGATGTGAGATGAATGCACATAACAAATTGAGTAACATAATTGTATTATGCTATCAGTATTGAATAGTGCACTTAAATATGCAATAGGTTAAGCATGAGATATAATACTGAAGCTCGTAATGTTGTTGATTTGTAATAAGCAAAGTTTCAAGGGCAAAAATATGCATATTAAATAACAAGAATTTCACCAAAACAACATTTGTGAAGTAATGAAAATCTTAGCATGACTGACGAGATCTTTAGATTTGTATGATTAAGTATGACCAACTTGATTATTAATGTCTGCATGATTCATATTCCTTATCTAGACTGTATTTCTTTGAGGAAGATTACAACTTATCTTTTTCTTTGGCCTTTGATAATTTATATATATATATATATATATATATATATATATATATATATATGAGATATGATCCTTTAACACCGGTGTCAAATTTTGAAATTTGATATCAAATTATAACAGTTAATTTTCACCAATCAATGGTTATAATTTTCGTCAATCAAACTTATTAATTAATTATTATTTCTCAATAAATGATAACCGTTGATTGACGAAAATCAACGGTTAGTATTTAGTGTTAAATTTTAAAATTTGACATTGGTGTTAAAGAATCTTATCTCTTTCTCTCTCTTTTTTCCGATAAACTATCTCTCTTTTTTATGTATATATAATAGGGTTTGTCAGATATACTGTGACTGAATCAAAGATTTGGTGTGATAAAAAATTTATAATTATATATTCTCGAAAATTACATAGTTATAATGTTAAAAAAAAAATTCTCTCTCTTTACATCACCCGACAATGTGTGAAAAATTGTTCTGAAGAGAGAAAAAAAAAGTATATTTAATATTATAATTATGTATTTTCATAAATACATAGTTATAATTTCGAAAAGAAAGAAAAAAATCACTTTAACACATTATAACTATGTATTCTCAAGAATACATAATTATAAATTTTTGACCATACCAAATCTTATATACAGTCATTTACAAATCATTTTGTCACACATATATATATGAAATTCCAACTCACTTCAGGTATTTATCATAATGGGATATCGGTTTGCTTAGTTCTCTGTTTGCAGTCTCTTACGTAAAGGATGATTCACACAAGAGAATGGATTTTACTATTTTTGTTTTTGACGTTTTGAGTGGTTACACATTGCCAGGTGAATTGATATCTGGTTCGGCGAGATGGGAGTCGCTTTTCATATCATCCACGTTGCAACTGGAGAAGTATGTCACAAAATTTTCTGAATTTGAATCTACCTGTGTTTTGGTAGTATGTGTTAAAATTATAGGGAAAATATATGGAAAAGAGAGAAGAGAAAAATAATACTCTAAATGATACTATTTTATTAGTTTAAGACTCTGAATAATGTTATGATTATGCGATGATGTTTTGATATTCAATATGTGATAATCACGAGCCTAATAAACTTATTTATACTAATTAATTATTCTTTGTCAAGACTAGTGTAGTACAATTAGTACAAGAATCCCGATATTTTTATACATGCAATCAAATATTACATTTTGAATTTCAATCAGTATTTATGTTCTCTTATTTACACGAGGTTCTATATAAAATATGAGATATATTATTTTATCTATTTTTTTCTGTTTATATTTGCCTATTACTTTCTAAGACTGTTAGATCAGAATCTCAATTAACTTTATTATTTCTCTCTCCTAGACAAAAAAAAATATAGGTAGAACAGCTTATCTCATCAATCATCTCTTGACATTTTGGGCCGATATAAGTGACGTTATGTACAATTGATCTGTTGAAATAAAGATAAAACTAATCGTATTAAATACTAAACAGATGTTCATTACTCTTTCATGTGTTGCTTTTAATTAATTGATTTTAAATCATGATAAAGTTTGTGCAAGTTATTCTAGCATTTATGTAAATATTGAAGAATTACATGTACCAAAAAAAAAAAAAAAATTTTTTTTTGAAGAATTACTCTCTTTAATTAGAACTTTTTTTTTTTTTTGTGCGTGTGTAGGATATTGGAACAAAAATTATGGCATATTGTCAGCAGGGTCTTAGATCTGTAGGCATTTTGTCAGGCACTGGTGTTGTATCAACTGCCACACTTCGTCGACCTTCAGCTCCAGGTGGCACTGTCACATATGAGGTTGGACACTTTCTTATTGTTTTGTACGTTTTGATTTGGATACAGTCATGGAGGTACTATAATTAGATTGATTAAAAAATTCATTAATTTGGAAGACTGTCTTAAGCATTCTTAAGTTAAGATTACTATTATTAGGAGCGAAATCATTTTGTTATGTAATAGGAGATAACTTTCTTATGTTGTGAAATATCAAAATCTGTGTTATCTTTTTTGTTTTTTTGTTTTTTTAACAAGTGATGGAGTCCACCACTTGTTGTGTCTATGGCATGAAAAATGTTACCTCATATGAAATGAGAAAAGAGAAACCCTTATTAGTACTGCAAAATGACACTATTTTACTGCTACTTTTAAGATTGTTAACAAATTACTATCATTTGCGAAAGACTATAATTGATTGAGTTATTTTATTAATTTTTAATAAATTATAATTATTAGATTCATAGAAATCAACAATTAAAACCGGACGTAAGAATTATTATTCTTATACTGTATTATAAGAAGAACTTGCCCCTAATTGCTGGTGGATTTTTGACTTTGATAGGGGCGCTTTGAAATGCTGTCCCTATCAGGCTCATTTTTGCTTACTGAGAGGGAAGGCTTACTCCATCGAATTGGAGGAATAAGTATTTCCTTTGCTGGCCCTGATGGACGTGTCATTGGGGGAGGAATTGTTGGTTTGCTTATTGCTGCTAGTCCTGTTCAGGTAAGTGTAACAACATTTCTAGTGCTGCCATAACAAAATCATATCTCTTATTCCCACTTGTTAAAATCAAAAGTTTCAAGCTATTTACTACATATAAAAGTTTTGAGACTGAATTAGTCATACTATATATAGGTGGTAGTTTGTAGCTTTCCATGGAGTGGATCAAAGACAAAGAAGAGGAAAAGGGAAGGATCAGAAAGTGAAGTGGAGTCAGAACATCAGGGAGTTCATAATCCAGTTGCAGTGAATAATAGCATTTATCCAAATTAAAATCTCTCTCCAACCTCTTCTTTAAGTCCTTGGCCAGCATCATGTCCGGTTGATATGTGTAATTCCCATGTTGACATTGATTTTATGCTTGGGTAACATATACACTAGTAAAGTGTATATTTTTGAGATTCATGGTCACTTTTCTAATTTTCTTGTAGTAGTAATGACATAATGGCAACTGACTTTTGCAATTGACAAATCTTACTTATCCACCCATCTTTGACTTGGGGTTGTGCATGGGTCGAACCGAACCGGATTTTTTGAAAAATCGAACCGAATTGATTTAAATAGTTCGGTTAAAAAATGGTTCGGTTCAGTTTAAAGCTGGTTCGGTTAGAAACGGTTCGGTTCGGTTCGGTTCGGGTTGACCTTCTTTTAAAAAGAAAAAAAAAATTAAAAATTAAAAATTTAAAAAATAAAGTTATAAAAATCAATTTGGTTCGGGTTGAAAACGGTTCGGTTCGGTTCAAAATAGTTCGATTATTAAACTGGTTCTAAAAATCGGTTTGGTTCATGAACTGGTTCTTTAAAAACCGGTTCGGTTCATGAACTGGTTTTTAAAAACCGGTTATTTTAAAGGCTGTTCGGTTCGATTCATGGTTCAGTTCAATTTTTTGATTATTTTGCACACCTGTAGTTGTACTCATATTTTGTAGCTTTAAGGAATTTTACATTAAACACTGCAATAAGTATTATTGTCACGGTGGTTGATCTCTACAATATTAAAGCCTTAAAGGAGAACTTTGGTATGCGGAGTACTTAACAGGCAAATAAATATTGAAAACTAGTACTGATATTTTTATAAATAAAAGCAGTAGCATATCAAAGTTGATATTTTACTTAAGAATGAAAACATACATTTTAATGGTAATAAAAAGAAAATAAACATACTGATATATATACATATGATACATAGAGAATGATAAATAAAAGTTCACCAAATCACATAATGTCCAATAAGAAATACAGAGAGTTGCATTTCTTCAATATCAAGCATCTGACCATGTAATATCAAGGCCACCCCATTGATGTTGGGGCACAGCCAAGGCTTTCCACACAGCCTTGGAGGCATCAACTATGTTGTTGGGACATGGAGGTTGGTAATCATGGTCTTCATCACATCCCATGGTGGAGTCACACTCATCAACCACCATGGCCACAACACTTCTTCCATTAGCACTGATGGTAATGTTGTTGAGACACCTGTTCTTGTTTTTGAACCATCCAGTGGAAAGTGCAACCACTGGAGTGTCATCAGAATGGTACTTGTTGTCACATTCTGAAGGTCCACCTCCATCTCCACCTTTCTGGAAACTATTGAGTGTTAGATATGCCTTGGTGTGTGTAGACACTGGTGGAGAACATTCATATGTTGTGTACATTTTTCCTTGTACACAACAATCAGAATCATTCTCTTGGTTGCACTGTCCTGAAGGGGCTTTCTTTCCTCTGATTCTGCCACTTGGGTGGCACTTTTGAGCTTCAGAATACACACAACTTGCTAAAATGAGAGTAATAAATAAAAGGAAAGAAGCTTTGTAGCAAAAACTCTTCATTCTGTCTATGCAACTCTTATGTTTCTCCACTTTGTTGTTGTTCTCAGTGTTTGATGCATAGGTGGAGATTTTCATGGCTATATATATAGAAATCTCCTAGTGAAGTAAATGATTTTGGCTTTGAATTATGGCACATCAACCTCAGTAATATAGGTCTGTTTTTTGGGTCAAGCAATGTGCTCTACAATGCCGTGTTTAGCTGAAATGACAATCACATCTTCTTGTTAACTTTTTCCTAACTCTTTAACACTTATAAATTATTGAAGAGAGTGGATAACTATGAATTTCATGCAGCTAGCTTTCAGTATAAATTGACAACTACACGACATACAAAAGGTTACATGCTAATTGTCCATGTCCTTGCAACGTTGAGAACTCAAATTGCAAATCCTTTCATGCAAATATTATATATGTTCGATTTTGAACACAAACCTGTGCTTGTTGTACTAATTAACAAGTCAATCTTATGCAAGCTACCTACGAGCCTAATATTGCACTTGACATGTTATATGCCAACGAATTTCAATTTGAAATTCTTATAATAATTAATTTTGTTCTTTAATATTTATATATTTAAAGGGCGAGCATTGAAGCAATAATAAAATTTCTTTGTAAAAATACAATGGTAAAATTATGTAGAATTGACCCTCACCCTTTACTTTTACAGATCCGAGAGCCTCATACACCAAGATTTATCTTTTTAATATGGAGTTTGCATTCATCATTTAACATGACACAAAAAAGTTTCTTACACACACAACATTTTGTGGGGCCCACACTTTTTGAAGCAAAAAAAATAAAAATTACGGCATATAAAACGAATCTCTATAACATTACACAATCACTTTTCCTACAGCATAACTCTTATAAAACCCTTTTAATATTTATATATTTAGAAAGTAGACATTGTTTAAGCATTGGAGTAAGATCATGTATTTCTGCCTTGTGTGATGTGTCTTACTTAAAATTACCTAAAGCTGATATCTAGACATAATAAAAGCAGAGTTGTGTCCATGAGAAAAAAAAAAGGAGAGTATTAAGCTGACTTAGTTTGTACATATATAGTTAGAATATTTTTAAAATCGGTGTTCACTTCCGAAACTGCTTTATAATTTTTTATATAAACTTGTAACCATGAAAATGTCACTTACATTTAATAAAACTTTGCAACTTTTATAAGTAACTTTTTCAATCAGTCTGTGACTTTGTAACAGAAAATTTACAAGGTTTCAGTCATAAAATTTATATGTTATACCGAAATGGTTCTGTTTAAGGTCTCTTTTATTTATGTCTCTTTTATCTCTCCCAATATATGTCTCTTGCAGTGGTTAAAAGTGATTGTTTAAATTATATGGTCGAAAGTTCGATTCTTAGAGAAATATCTCTGAGAGACATTTGACTTTTATCACACTCACTTCAAAATTTAACTCATGGCAAAATAATATCATTAATGCAAATTTGAAATTATTTTAGTTGTGTTTGGAAGAATACGTATACCTTATACATAATTAATGAGATTGTGCAACGTGACACGATCTTAGTCGGTGAAATAATTAATTTTTTATAATTGGTTAGATGATTCAATTCTTATAATTGCTTCCACTCTTGGAAAATAAAAATCACAAAGGTAAATTATTCTGTGTGGAGTTGGTGCTTCACAAGCAACATAAATAAATAGAGCCAAAACTGGAGTATCATAGGCTCCATTGTAATTTTGCTTGTTTATGCAATAAGCTGTCTAGCACTGCTAACTAACCCTGTGGATGAAACATCTTAAGCAGCAAGGAGACTCTAACTATGAATTTTTCCTTTTGTTGTTTTCTGATAAATGGTGACTGCAACTGTGCTCTTATCATGTCTTGTCATCATTATTGTTTTTTCAAACTTTTTGGGTCAGTTTTAAATGAATCAGCGGCCACGGCCTAAAATGTTATACAAACTTTATGTATATAAGATCTCTACCTGTTAATACATAATTATAACAAGTACTAGTTAGTGTTCAAAATGCAACATAAACTTTGCATCATTGCAATTAGAATTTCACTTCCCTACGTTTCAGTACATTGCCTCTGAGTCTCTGACGTTGAAAGTTCATATCAATTTAATATGACCCTCCAACAATTGAATAAAGAACTAATTAATCTGTATGCTGTGGTTAACCATATCTACTGAAACCCCGCAGTATGAAATTCAATAAATTATTCACTTTGCTTAACAGTTTAAAAACCTTAAAAGAACCCTCTACTAGATGCTGTAGTTGTCATTGGCTAAACAAGATAGTTTAAAACTTGTTCTTTGACCCCAAAAATGATCCTGTAGTGCTGTGCTGGACATGCTTATGTCATAGCCAAATGATTTACTTGATGTGGAAATTAACATCTATATATACCCATTAAAATCCCAATCCATGCATCAAGCACTACTGAGAAGAACAACAAAAAAGAGAGATAGAAAGGTCAATAGAGAAAATGAAGTGTTTTTGCTACAAAGCTTCTTTCCTTTTATTTGTTACTCTCATTTTGACAAGTTGTGTGTATTCTGAAGCACAAAAGTGCCACCCAAGTGGCAGAATCAAAGGAAAGAAAGCCCCTTCAGGACAATGCAACCAAGAAAATGATTCTGATTGTTGTGTACAAGGCCAAATGTACACAACTTATGAATGTTCTCCACCAGTGTCTACACACACCAAGGCATATCTCACACTCAATAGTTTCCAGAAAGGTGGAGATGGAGGTGGCCCTTCAGAATGTGACAACAAGTACCATTCTGATGACACTCCAGTGGTTGCACTTTCCACTGGATGGTTCAAAAACAAGAGCAGGTGTCTCAACAACATTACCATCAGTGCTAATGGAAGAAGTGTTGTGGCCATGGTGGTTGATGAGTGTGACTCCACCATGGGATGTGATGAAGACCATGATTACCAACCTCCATGTCCCAACAACATAGTTGATGCCTCCAAGGCTGTCTGGAAAGCCTTAGGTGTGCCCCAAGATCAATGGGGTGGCCTAGACATTACATGGTCAGATGCTTGATCTATGTTGTAATTAAGTGATTCTGCGAACCTTTATTTTGCATCCTATGTTTATCATATGTATAATATATGTTGTGACCATCCTATTGTAAATTATGAACTTTCATACATTAAATACTTTTGTTCCCAAAGCTCAGTCCTAATTTAAATATTTGCCTTTAGTTCAGCACTCCGAAATTTCCCTTTTAAGTGGTCAAGCCTAAGAGACAAATATAAGTATACCATAACCTTGTAATTGATCATTATGGGAACTAGGATTTTTTCTTTTTCTTGTTTTTTTTTTTTTTTTCTTTCTCTGGTCGGGGAAAGTTTAAGGGAAGAAGAGACTATTCCATTTTAAGTTCAAGACATACCATGAATTTCATAGAGAATTTATTACTTGCATAATAACCAGCCCTTTCAAGTACTTATATACTTTTTCACTTAACTAACCACAGTTGGAACTTCGAAGAACTAGGAGCTCTAGGAAAAAAAATGGATGGTTTTATGCAGCAGGGCTTCTACACCAAATGACAATACAGTACCCCAATGTCAGGAGGACTCATGAACTGATTATATGTTAAATTGATTGAGGAAACAGATAAAAACCAAGTCATGGCTGTCTAATCTGAAGATGAAGACTAAATTAATCTTCTTAAATTTATTTTCAGTATATATTCTTCCCTTATCTATTAATAAATCGAGAAACAATATCATTTGTTGACATTGATACTTAATGAGCAAAATCTTTAGACTCCAAATTTTAAATACAGAAAAGTTATATCCCTGGCTTCATCACTGATTATTATCTGTAAATTAAAAGTGTAAAGAACATTGGGATACACCACCCCAAAAGCTAGCTCAAAGGGTGGGAGTGTCTAAGGCCTCTTATAAACTCCACATTAGTTGCACATACAACCAATGTGAGACTATATATCTCAACACGTCCCCTCACACGAGAGCCCATTGGGTTTGAAGAGTGGATGATGCAAAAGGCAAAATCTACCTGTGCTAAGAAATTCCACAAGAGAAAGTGAGGGGCGGCGAGGCTCTGATACTATGTAAAGAACCTTGGGATACACCACCCCAAAAGCTAGCTCAAAGGGTGGGAGTGCCCGGGGCCTTATAAACTCCACATTAGTTGCACATACAATCAATGTGGGACTATATATCTCAACAAAAAGAAATCAAACAGAAGGGAAAAAGGGCACTTTAATTTAAGTGCAGTCTATTGTCAATGCACTTCCAAAGCTTAAGATTTAATTTATACAATGAACTTTCCCATGAATTCATCCCATCTGAAGTACATATGGCATTACTCATTGTCCCAGAGAGGAAAAAAGAATAGCAAAATTGAACTGAGTTAATTGTCAATAGAGTGTTGACACTAGCTGAGACCATGCTTCAAGTACAAAAGCAGCTTGAAATATAGCAGAGAAAAAATAGAGCTTAGTCTCAGCTACATGCATCAATTTCCACAGCATTAAGCATCAGACCATGAGATATCAAACCCACCCCATTCATTCAGGGGGACACCTAAGGCTTTCCACACAGCCCTTGATGCAACAACAATGTTGTTGGGACATGGTGGTTGATAGTCATGGTCTGCATCACACCCCATTGATGAATCACATTCATCAACCACCATGGCCACCACACTTTTACCATTGGCACTTATGGTGATGTTGTGGAGGCACCTTCCCTTGTTGTTGAACCATCCAGTGGAAAGCGCCACCACGGGCATGTTATCAGAATGATATTGATTGTCACATTTTGAAGGGACATCACCATCTCATCTCCACCTTTCTCGAAGCTACTAAGAGTGAGATAAGCCTTGGTGTGGCTAGCAACTGGTGGTGAACATTTGTACAATGTATACATTTTACCTGGCACACAGCATAAATCATCCTCTTCATTACAATGCCCTGAAGGGGTTGTTTTTTTGCCTTTAACTCGGCCACTAGGATGACATTTTTGAGCTTCAATGTACAAACAATTCATTAGGAGGAGAAAGACCAATGGAAGAAAGGATGCCTTTGAGCATAAACTCTTCATTTTTCTATGCTCCTTGTTTTGTGCTTTGTGTTGTTCTTCTAAGTGCTTGATGCAACAAGGGTGAGTTTATTGTGTATATATATATAAAGAGGATGTGATGCTACTCAAGTCAATTATTTGGCTTCATTATGCACAAGTACTATATAACTATAGGTCAAGCTGAGCTTTACAACACCGTGTTAAGCCAAAATGACAACTACAACACCCTGATTTTTTATGCTTTGTTTTGTTTCTTTACAAAATGACACAATTATAGCTTTTCAAAGTGACAAGATCATCATGACCTAGTGACCTTTTTTTTGTATTCAATTGGTTTAAGAAAGAACTAAAAAACATGTCAATGGTTGTATAATGTAACATTGAGAACCGAAATTCAAATTCCTTTCCTGTAATTTTAGTTTGAACGCAAACTTGTGGTGGTTAACATTAACATATCACCTTTCTATTATATAAAGAATATTCGCTTTTAAAAAGTAAAGAATTCAAAATTAAATGCAAATTAAAGAACTAAAATTAAAGAATTCAGAATTTATGATGGCATAAGTAGAAGAGCACTGCTATTGCTACAAATCCCGCAGATCACACTGAAAACAACTAAAAAATATCATAATCATAGTCACAATGGTACAAGCTGTTTATGAAATGAGACATATTAGCTTTAGATGATTGGAAATCACCCTGCTTTAGAAGTCCCGCTCGTAGATTTAGGCTCTATGTTCTTCCTCAAAAATTCAGACAACCTTACAGTAGTAGCACGCCCTCGTTCTAGGCAGTGAAGATAATCATCCACTTGAAGAAAATTAAACACAAAACTAATCAGATCACACATTAGAAAATTAAACCTACACAAGCACATTATATGCAACCATGTGCTAAAGTACTGCCAATTCTGGAAAAAAAATAGAAACGTATAAAGGTTAAAACACTCGGCACCACCAACATTCTAATTGAAGGAACTAACTAGAAAAACGTTAAGAGTGGCAAAATACCTGACATAGCACCCTGCGTAACAGATGTTATGATTCCATGTGACAAGGGTTCACTGCCCACCTGCAATGATCGCTCTGGTAGGACTGAAACAATTGCATTGGGAAAAACTAAATAGGCAAATGCTTTCATTTTCTGCCATAAGATTAAAACAAAAAAAAACTAAATTAGAGTTGTGTACAAAGAAGCAATTAACCTAGGACTCCAACTTCAAGATTTGTTTATGCAACAGGTACATGAAAATAGAAACAATTATACAATGGCTATGGGCTTATGCATAAAAAATATCATTTTCTGGGTTCTGCTAGACAATACAGCATGTGACTAAACATTCAGATAAGTGCATGAGCTTTTATAAGATCAACCATGTGTTGACTATTGGATGCATAATTACTAGTCACCAATCCAGATAATTAGCTTTTAGTACACAGCTAGAAAGTTGGACATGCCCAAGGCAGAGATGGTTGCTGACATTACCGGGCAAATCAAATTCCACAATCATGAAGCTAAAGACTCCTAAGTTTTTGACAAGGATGAATAAAGATCTGTGGGAGTTGCATTGCAAATGAACTTGATGTTACTGAACTAAGTTCTGGGACAAAGTGTCTGCTCATAGTGTAGGAACGAGATAAAGGCAAAACGTTAAACATTGCAAATTAATCAAAAGGTAAACAATGTTATGCCAACAAAAATAAAGAGTTTGTTTATGTTTTCCAGTAAGAGCAGTTAAGTTACTGAAACCTCAAAGGGGTTTGAATTAATTTACTCAAAACAAAAAAATGAAAAGAGTTATCCTAGGAACATTAACGAGGATTGTATAACCGAAATAGTAACACAAGTACCATAAAAGGGTAGTTATGACAACAATAACTGAAAAGAGATAAAAAGATTTAAATATTTCAACTCTTGTCCACAGACAGCACAGTGTATTTAGAACACTTCATCATAAGTCAACTGACATACAAATGAAGTAAATACAGAACAAATTTTATTTAGCAGACTAAATTCAACAGACATAAGGTTAACACAAAATAATACTTTAAATTGACAAAAAAATATTCTACTAACCTCCTCTTCATTTTTAGTCGGGTCCAATATGATACAGCCACTATCTGTTACAGAACAACATATTGCAACTGTAGAGACAAGGATGAGAAATCATTATCTTTTCACAAAAACAAAATCATAAAAGTAAACCAAAAGATAATAACCAACAAGTCACTCTTGATTACCAGCAAGATGTTTTAGGGGAATTCCAGCATCCACGAGTGCAGCGCATGCTGCATTTATTGCACATGGAAGAAGCTACATATTGAGTCAAGAAAAAGAAGCAAAAGATGCAGAAGCATATAAATTAAATACTGATCTCTTTAGGTCCGCACCCCTCATGTAATAAACAATAAAAACAAACCAGAGCGTATATATCTGAATGAGTTGATGGTAATCTATAATGTTCCTTCATAGTCCTAAAAAATTAGAACTGGCACATGAACATGATGACTAAACACCACTGTCCATTACCCACCACCCACTCTAATAGTTAAATATTGAACCAAAAGTCCAAAAATAGCATAAATGTGCTAAATGTAGGAATTGGGGAAAAACATAAATTCCCTCTATTTGTTCCTGGCAATAATAAAGGGACAAAATTTGAAAGGAAAATGGCTAAAAGATATCTACATTGATGTGCATGTTACAAGGAATAAAAAAGGCAAGCAATCATAGGTTTTTTTTTTTTTTTTGTGTGTGTGTGGATATTATCCATCAATTCATCAACTACTCGACTAATCCGATTCGAGACGGGTAGAACCACATGAGCTGCAAAGTTCTTCCTATCAAGTTTTAACACAACTGCATTTCTAGGGACTTGAACTCGAGACCACTAGTTAAGCTGAAACAACTGCTTACCTATTGATCCACGGGCTTGGTACTAGTCATAGATTTTTCTTATGATGTCAAAAGAGGAATCATAATTGAACTAAAATGAGACTAGAAAAACAGCAAAAATCCTTCATGAAGAACTATTACAGCAATTGAGTTTTTTAAGTAGGATACAGCACCATCATTGTGGACAACCTGCAGTAGAAACAAAATAGTGTTCAATCCAGAAACATAACAACCCAGGTAAATAAATTTTAATTTTTTATTTATTTAACTTCAAATCACATGTGTCACATAAATATTTATAAACTATTACAGATAAATGGAAATGCAGAAACTGAAGATCATACGTGTCAAGTTACACTTTACTAATTATACAGTTCACGCGCGTGTTAGATGAAGCAAGCAAGCAAGCAGCCCTTAAACTGAATGAATTCAGTTACACTTGTCATTCAATCAGTTAAGCTAGTTAGTTATGAAGTTAGTTTTGGTTTGTAACAGATTAGTAATGAAGTTAGTTAGTTAGTTATTCAGATTCAGTTTCAGAAAATAAAGCAAAAAACGAGTTGCTAATATGGTGTGTTTGGATTTAGGGCAATAAAAAAAAAAAAAAAAACTTACCTGGACGATAACCGAAGTGGTTGTGTTGGGATATATGGTTCGAATGCAAATGCTTTCCAAAGTTCTCTTCAATATCATCTCATATTCCTTCTCCACTTTTCCTAAACCATAATAATCATAATAATATTTAATTTTCATTTAAAAGAAAGAAGGAAAGAAAGAGTTTGATAATAGTGTAGTATTTTGTTGTGTTACCAATGTGTCCTGTGTTAGGCTTCCAAATAACTTCGATGGAAGCTTTTTCAGGGTTTTCATTCTTCTTGGTTCCAGATTTTGGACCATAAACCGCGGCTAGAACTTTGGTGTCTCCTTGAGTCCAACTGGCTGAGCCATGTGCGCGATGCACCACGGAACGAGAGCACGCAAGTCGCCTTAGTTGATTCGGACTCCGTCCGTCGGGTCTCACAATCTCCATCCAATACGCTCAATACCGCGTTCCCCAAAAAAGCGCTGCTACGGAGAGTGCAATTTGAAATCCAAATCCCTAAATATGGGTGGGTCCCACGATAACAAGTTTGCGAGGCAAGTGTTATTTAAACCGTCCCGATCATTGAACCAATGTATTAGATTATTGGATTCCTGATTTAATTAACGCGCGGCTAATTTAACTGTATGAGCCAATGACTATATATAAATGTATCATTTATATTAAAAAATATATAAATATATTTAAATAATTAAAAAAATATATAAATTCTGAATGTTTTAATATAAAAAATAAAAAATTATATATTATTCAATAAAATATCTAACTAACATACCAGGCTTGTGATACTGGTGTTTAAGGTTCAGTAAACGACATCTCTAATTATAAATTAAATCAAAATTCCATGCATAGTGCATAACTGAAATAATATTAGTATTGTAAGTACATAATTCAATTTTAATGCAGTTACTGCATATAAGTTATATGCAGTAAGCCCAATACGGCATCATTTTGGGGCGAAAATCATGTTATTTTTGTAATTTTAATTTATTTCAGGATTATTATAGTCTTTATAATTATAATTTTTTAATATTTCAATTCCAAAACGACGTCGTTTTGGGAGTAAATGCAGATAACTTATCTGCAAAAATATATTTCTGTTTATATAATTCAATAAGTATTAGATCACTTTTTTTAAAAAACTGGGATGGGTCACCGATTTTCACCAAAATTGATCGGGTGGCACTGAATCTAATGCTTAGTCGATCCAATATGATAATCGGACCAGTCAGATAATCAATTCATCGAGTTACGAGTTCATCCGCAAAGCTTTTGCGACGTTCACTTAAACACAAACACCGAAATGTTACAAAAAGATAAAAGATTATTGGGCAATGATTTTCTCATGCTATTGGAGAGGAAGAAATATCCTACACACTCAAATTTATGGTGGGGCCCACACATAAAAATAAAGAAAACAAAAAAAATTATTGCACGCAAAACGAACTCTTACTAACATGAGAAAAGAGCTATCCTACAACATAAGAATTCTTTTTCCCAAGACTATTATACGTAAATAACAACAAATTAATATTGCACATATACAAAATCTTAGATGAAAAAAATTTAAAAAAAATAAAAGTCGTATGAGTGTCAAGTGTAGTTCACTAATAGGGATCTAACATTTTGCCTAGTAATAATAGAGATCTAATGGAGTCTTCTGAGTCGAATATTCCAAAAAATAGAATTCCGAATGCAAAATTGATGCATTATTGTAAAAGAAAAGAGGTATACACAAAATAGAATTTGTAAATTCACTAAATCAGCATTGAGTTTATAAACTATTAAACTAATTAATTTATTATAACATCACAGTTTAAGTTCGATTTGGGCTCAAGTGTAATGATAACTAGGTATAAAATGAAAAGTATTTTGAAAAATAAACTAGCGAATGCAACCGCTGGTGAGTAAAGAAAAGAGAATGCAACCGCAGATAGCGAGAGAAGCTGGTGCTACAAAAAGTAAAAACTAGAGATGAGTTTTTACTTTTCATTGAAATTACAAAAATAACCTTTAATAAATATGAGTTGACAAGCGGATCGGCAAGTCAACCCCTGATACGATCGTTATAAAAAAAATTGTATCATTTTTTTAAATTCATACACAATCCATTTGAAGTTATGGGTTAAGATGATCGTACCACGAATTAACCTGCGGATCAGAAACAATTCTCTCTTCTCTCAAAATAAATAAAATATTTTTTTTAACTTGAATAATGTTCATCTTCAAGGAAATATTAAAATGACTATTTTTCAAATTAATTACTAAAATATTGCTAATTACATCATGTCGGCATTTATTATTTTTTAACTTTGTCTTCGCCTAATACGGATTGAGCATTTGCGTTAACGTGTCTAATGCAAACATCACACTATCACATTAAAATATAGAAGACGTCAAGTTCAACAACTCAATTCACATAAAAATGCAATATGTATGAAAATTTGGTAGGTATAAAAGGTTACTATAATACCAAAAAATCCCATAAAAACTGAGCCTCTGGTTTTTAGCTCTATGCATTACATACTTACATGCATGGAGTCCACTGTCATTAACAGAAACTGAGCCTACTGAATAGTGTATAATATATGTTTTGCTGAATAAAATTAGGCTTTAATGTTTCTATAGTGAATATAGATAAATTATCTACATTCACTCTCAAAATGATATCGTTTTGGTTTGAAAAATTAAAAAATTATAATTAAAAAACTATTATAATCCTGAAATAAATTATAATTACAAAAATACCTTGTTTCCGTCTCAAAACAATGTTGTTTTGGGCTCAATGTACATAACTTATTTACATTTACGGCAGAAAAAAAAAAACCCATAAAACTATTAAATCATTCCAAAATATAATCTTCCATTTTAGACAACAGCTAACATAGTTCCACTACAAGCAGTCAAGCATCTGATCTAATCCTACAAGGCCAGGAAATCAATGTTGCAATTTTCCACAGCATGTGTACATTTGTATCCACAGTCATTAATCAAGTGAACTAGACATCATGACATAGCCCCACTGATTTGGCAGCAGAAAAAAGTTTTCAAAACAACACAAAACACAAGTTTTCAAAACATTTATAAGAAGTTGTAACCATATTTACAACATACTATCTGTGAGAGAAGGCAACCTGCGGAAGAAATTGACAGGTGCTGGTGGTGTCTTGCCCCGAAGCTTTGGATGCCTCATTAAGTAAAATCCAGCTAGAAGAAACACCATCTGTAAGGGTGTCACATACAACATAATTGCAGCAACAAAGCAGAATGCCATGAATATTGAAGTGGCACGAGGATCCCTCCAGTTTAGAAGTGCATGAATTCTTTCACCCTGAGTAGCTATGTCTCCAACAACACTCTGAACCCTCCCTGCCAAACTTCTTAACCTATCATACCTCCAACGAACTATATCTGAACTCTTTGTGGTTGGAAACGAGTCAAACTCCTCATCAAACTCCTCTGGGTTTGTTGCATCTGCAAAAGAGAGCCTAGTGTCCATGTGAGGTGGGAACCTTGGGCGGAACCTCCACTTCCACATGCCTATTACAAACATGTATAGAAACATGGTTGGTAGAATAAGTTCTGGGAAACACACAAGCATTAGAAAAAGAATGTGCACAAGCACTGTTGTAACAGGATTCTTCCATGTGGAAATCTCCCCTAACCAACTTCCTATTGAAATTAACCCCGAAAACACTGCCCTCAGACGGTTGAAGTTGGCCTTGCTACGCCTCATGCTCCACATATGAGAGTCTGTATCAGACATGTACTCAACCACTTCCCTTCTAAGAGGGGGTTCTGCTCGGCTAAGTCTGGCTGCAACAATGTTCATAGCCTGGTGTCTCAGCTTTTCCTGTTCAACAATGTTAAGGGGCTTCTTATAGTGCATCTTTGGCAAATGGGGTTTAAAATACAAACCCATCATGTTAACCATTGAGGTGCATGAGAAACGTATTGCTAAGTGCACTTCACCCATCTTCTTGACACCAGACTTTTCCAGAGATAATAATGGATAAGAGTGTGTATAAATGCGGCCGATTTCAAGTGTTGAGATCCTTATCCGAACCTTACCAATCTTGGAATCTCTGTTACCATTTGAAGAATTAAACTGTGCATTATCAAACACCCCCAGGGTGAGAACTGTAGCTGGATCATGAACTTCCCAAGTGTATTGCTCATTGTATTTTGGGTTCAGATTGCCAACAATGGTTCGAGTCCGCACCCATTTCTGCCCATACTTTGCCACACAGTATGTATCTGCTGTCCCTCTTCCATCCCTGGTTTTGGTTGGTAGTACATTAGCATTCAAAATGCCAAGTTCTATGACACCAATTGACTTCTTCCAGAGCTGCTTGGAGGTAGGCCTAAGATCACTACTGTAATAAGTTGACTCATCAAGCACATGGTATCCACCATCAAGAAAGATATTAACATGGATTCTACTGAAGAACTTGTCTTTATCTTTCTTTTTCCCCAGTTCCCCATCCATAGCAGATGACATGGATGTTTCAAGGTGATACCACCTACTACGGATATGTCTATCATCAGCACGCTTTTCAACTGTGCTCAAGGGAATGACAACATTGCCAATAGTCTCATCCTTGTTGTTACCAGCACGATCTTCAACTGTAAGGATCAAAGGTTCTTCAAAGGGTTCAGCAGCAACAAACAAAAGATCCTGATCCCATCGTGGGTTCATGATCCTTGATTGAAGTGGTCTTGTCTTCAAAATCTGGTTACCAACCTGTACCTTAACATAGGCATCTGGAACCCGAGACTTGTCTGATGGAAGTAAGTCTTGTGCCTCTATCACTTTAACACGCAAATACCATAATCTAGGAGAATGGTAAACTTTTGACCGAATCTGGGAATAGGAAGCTGAAGAGCTTCCATTAGGGGACATTGCATCAGAATGCCAAGCATCTGGAAAAGCCTCATCAGCTTGTGTGCCAATCCAGACAGCAAGCATCAACTCCCCTTTTTTCTTTTCCCCATTCTTGTTCTCAATCCGATACCACTCAGGAGCCAATGGACTATCAGGGGGAACACGTCTAGGAACTTCATGGAGATCAAACCTGACAGTTCCAACCATATCATCTACTACCACGTCCTTGTCTTTGACCACAACTTCAAGAATAGTTGATTGCTGATTATCCCTGGCAAAGGCAAACACCTTGTTCCATTCAGGGTTTTGGTTTTTCTCAAAGTGATTGGTAACACCTTTGAAGTTTCCAACCCTGACCTCCACATAAGGGTCAAGGCTACCAGTCACATCCATTGATGGAAGGTCACGAGCTTTTACAACTCGCACAAAAAGGTACTGCATAGGTTCAACAAGGTCATAGGTGCTGACTGGCCTGGTCCCACGAATAACCCTTCCACCAACTACTTGTCCCCCTCCAAGAAAAGGGCTTGTCTCTTTCACTGAATAATCCATTGGAGATGCAAATGCTTGAACAACTCTTGGAGGAGGCTGTCCAGATTTCATCTCATGCATCCCAAAGGTTACATTTGGCTTGGAAGCTGGTTCAGGCTGTTGCTGTTCACTATTTGATTTAGGAAGTTTATGAAATGTTTGCCTTGACTCATTTTTCTTTCTAGAAAAATTGTTGAAGAGAGAACTTGTAAATGATGCTGGTGTTTGATCTTGTGTTGGGTTTTCATTTTGATCCGTATTGAAAAAGGTTTCCATAGCAGGAAGAGGGTTTGAGGCTCTTATAGAAGGGTCATCTGTAACAAATACCTTCAAACCAAGTTCTCCTTTTGTGCGGGAAAAAATGGCTTTCTTTTCCAGTGGGTAGTGCAAAAGAACAGCATCAGAATACTGGACAAATGAGGTTCCGGTGAGCCGGACCTTACCGAGGACGACTTTGGAGCCATTATTTTTATTATAATGGTAGATGCTGGCTTCAAGAGTGAGGTTTGGTAACTTGCTTGGATCAGCAATGTTGAAGTAAAAGCTCTCGTTCCAAACAGGACTCAGATCATTATCTTTAGTTGTTGTCCGAAATTTCTGGTCATCAAAGTGAAGTTCCACAAAAGTACTAGATGAGCCTTTCCCATCTTTGGGCACAAGGTCATGAGCACTCACAACTTCTACACCTAGCTTGAGATTGTTCATTGCCCCAATAAGTAGCTACCAGCAAAAATCAGACACAGAGAAGGTATAACTGAAAGAAGAGAAGAAATAAATGAGGTTCAAGATTAATATTGAATCATATATAAATTTCAATAATCAATATAAATAAATAAATCAAAGTACGTATAATATATGTTAGAGGGACAAATTAACAGCCCAGTTGTTATAATATATATATCTGGAGGAGGTGTGTGACCTCCCCATTATGTGCAGAATTTCTCATGAATACTTTTGCGTCCCTATCATAATATCCATGTGAATCATTGGAAGACCAACCATCAAGTAAACATGCTATTTTTTTTACGAGGGAAATGGCTGGAAAGTGAGTTTGGTAGGAAAATGTAAAAAAAATTGTTTGGTTGACCCAAATATTACCAGGGAAATTTATTTAAATATGCAAAATCTATGTTCAGGAGAAACTTTGCACCTGTTTTTTCACTTCTCCAGTTATCTCAAAATACCACATCTCAACACAAAAATCATTTTCCCATCTATCCTATTTGCCTGGTATTTTTTCAAAAAACATGAACCAAACGTGGTATTTTCCAATATCCACTTACACTTTCCCATCAATCCTAAAATAAACCTTCAACCAAACACTACCTTAATGTTTTCTCATGGTTTGATTTATTACATAAAGGCACGAAATGTTCAAATTTAAATTTTACTTGATGTACTATCTCTAACAGTAATAACCAGAAATATAGCCAAATGCATAAATTACACCATTTATTCCCATACAAAATTAACACTGCATAAAAAATAGAGGAAAAAAAAAACATTAAGTTATAAATCTTAATTCACTTTTTCCAATTATAGATAAGAAAGTAAAAGTAAATAGAACCAAAATAAAAAAATGAGAGTAAAATTATTGTGCAAAGCAAGTAATACTTCAAGCAAAAGCAGGAAAGTGGAATATTCCGAAAGTATCTACCGACCAAATCCACAAATGTCTTCTCCGTGACCAAAAAGCAAGACAAGAATCAAAAAGAACCTTTTTTTTTATAACATACTTCCAAAAGAAAAATACAGATTTGAGAACAGGGATCAAAAGGCATGGATTCCTTGTATTATGACCTCAACACAGGGGATTGTGACAAGAATCTTCAGACAACATAAAGAAAAAGAAAAATCTTCAAAAGAAAATTAAGGATTCATGAACTCACCAGCTATTATATATATATATTATTTAATTTTCCAAGGCTGAAACAAATAAACATATACATATATGAGCTAATATATTATACAATATATTGTTAAAAATCATAACTATGAATCAGAGAAGATAATTTTCTGAAGCAAAACTTATATTAAACTTTAACAAAATCTAACTATAAATCTGCAAAATACTTCACCAATTCAAAGTAAGAAGAAGAAACGCACCTGGGTTTTCTAAGGTCTGAATTTGAACTGAGAAAAACAACGTTGTGATGGGATTGAGAAGTAACAGATAGAGAGAGCAAAGAAAGAAGGTGGAGACTTAAAAACAAAAGGAAAAGGAGGACTTCGACGATGGTTCGGATGTAGAGAGAGAAAGTCGTTGAAAACGAGTTAAAATGCCTTCCACGAACGGAAGAAGAAGGAGAGAGAGAGAGAGAGTTATACTTGTAAGAATGTCCGTTACCGTTTGTTCTGTTGTTTAAGGCACAAGCACAACCTTAGTCTTGGTCTTGCTATTGCCTCAGTTTTTGTCTTCAACGCTTACCGCGTTTAAGAAACTCCCTCTCTGACCATCACACGTTTCCTTCATGTATTTGTTCATTTTAAAATTATTACAATATTTTATTAGAGTAGTATTGCCTCTACCAACCATTTGATAAGCTGAAAATAATAGAAAATAATAATAATAATAATAATTGTGATGCAATTGATTAAAACCTGTGACCTTTTTTTTCTTCTTTTTCTTCTATGTGTAGCGTTATTGATATTATTAATGATATTGTGATACAATATGCCATATGAGAAATTCTGTCCTACGCGTGATGACCAAAGTGCCATATTTTGGTAAAATACATGTCAATAAGTGTTACCAAACCTATAAGTAGGATCGCTTTTCTGCCACATATATGACTCAATAAAACAGTTTTGCCTGCTCAATTTGTTGTTGGGACTTCTGTTTTTTATTGGGCCACGTGGAAGATGATAAATTGTTACTTATTTTAATTATTAATAATGACTATATATGTGTTCTTATTAATAATTATTATATTTGCAAAGTTCATGACACACATCTATTTTCTCAAATGCCTGGACTCCAAAGTGCCACCAATGCACATTGGGGATATATTAATTATAAAAATGAATTGTGGAAAAAAGGTATTATGATTCGTGTGTTAACTTTAATATACAAGACATGCGTGAGACTTGATGCACAATTTTTAAGGCTCTCATTGCGTGAGACTGGCTCTCATTAATTAGAGAAATTTATATATTTTTATATGTATTAATTATATAATACGTAATTAATGCACAATATTTTTCAAATCTCCTTTCTTGGGCCATGTCTTTATTAATATCAATCAATATGTGTTTTAGTTTTCCTATTTGGCCCTTTATTATCTTCGATATGGGAGCAAATCAGTTCAATTGATCCCAATAGCGGGACCGATCATGCAAATTGAGACAGCGAGATTGCCTCTCTAGTTCCCATGGTAGAAAAGCAATCTCACGGGTGACATTAACCGGACTTAAAAGCTTGTTTGGATGACTTTTTTTTTCTTCAAAAGTTGTTTTTTTTTCAAGAAAAAAAGCACTTCTCATTTTTAGTTTGTTTGGATGTCTGCTTTAAAAAAAGGAGAAAACATAAAAAAAGTCAAAAATTTACTTTTTTTAGAAGCTAAAATTTTTAACTTCTAAGAAAAACAGAAGTCAAAAGTCAAATATTTTTTTCAAAAATTAAATATTTTTATAAAAATATAAATAAATTTAACTTTTATAAAAAGTACTTTTAAAATAAAGAATTGATAAAAGTTACTTCTTTTAAAATTCTAAACAAACGACCTAAACTCATGTAGAGGAAAACAAAAAAAAAAAATCCTTGGTGACAAAAATTGATGTGGGGCTCAGTGACAGAGTCAGTAAAACTACCGTGCCTGTAACCAAAAAATTTAATCGGTGTTAAATACTAAATTTTATTCATTTCTAGTACTGCAGCTTAATTACGGTTATTTATTTATGTCTAAAATATAATTATTTTTTGAAAATCACAACATGACTCCGTCACTGATATGACCATTAATATTTTTCCTTTCTCCTTATATTTGTTTCTTTATCATAATTCTTATTTTTGTAGGAATTTTTTTTTTATGTAACAGATGTATTATCCTATGACATATTGTTATATATTTTGTCAAAAGGTGGGACTAACCCAATGCTAAGAATATTTCTAAGTTTGTAAATAAATAATTTATTAATTACTTAATAAAAATGTGTAACATCTTATGTATAGAATTTTATTTTTTAATACTTTATCATCAGTGTAATAATTATTTGATTAATATGTTTCGAGACAGATAGGATAATAAAGTAGGTAAAACTCTCACTGTTAAATTTTAACACAATCGTATATCCTGAACTCATATTCATACATAAGATCATCAATTAAGTTGAAACAAATATATATCAATTAATTCACTAATAATTATATGTAAAACTTCTACCATTGGACGTTTGTGTGATAAGTTCTAATTCAATTTTCACTTGTAAATTTCTACATTTTAAAGTTTTTGGAGTTTACTTATAATATTCAGTTGTATTATACAAGAGCGAAGGTTAAAAGTGTTGTTGATGTATTATTATTATGGGAAATGTTATATTTATAAAAAATTTGTTTACAAACTACATTAAGTACAATCGATCATATTTTAATCAAAAGTGTATAACAGGTTATATTTAGTGTAATTTATAAAAAAAATTATTATTATAAATTTATAACAAGTCTTAATAGGGGAGAAGTTAAGCTAAGATAAGGGCATCAAAGAGAAACAAGTCATGGTGGAGGAAGGGGGAATATTAAAAATAACAAATAAATAAATTTGGGGTCTAATAAACTACGCGCCGCCTTGACGTGGAGAAGGAGAAAAACCAAAAGTAAAACGCTGAGTTACACGAAAACTTTTTATACGAAACAAGTGTCTTCTACTTCGTTGTATTACTATTCCCCCCCTCTAATTGTGTGTCTGTACTGAATTTGTTTCGTGTTATATAGCATTCCCACCTAAAAACATTTGATTATTGAATCGAACACCCTAAACCGTAAGATTTTTAGGTATTAAAATATGAAAAAAAATATGTGTCATTTTAAATTTCACAAGTTCTATCGTTTCAAAGATACAAAGAATATAGGTTTCACTAGAAAAAAAATTGTGAATCTCATTTTTTATTTCTATGAAATGACATAATTTATATAATTTAAAATGGCACGTACTTTTTCTTAAAACATTTCGATCAATTTTAACCTGTAAAATTTATCTTTATGCATTTTATCTTTTATAATTTCACTATAAATTCTGTTTAGTTTATATAATTTTTAACCAACTGTTTGAAAATTTCCTTATAATTTTCTTTGTTAGTAAAGTGATCAGTGTTTAAAAACTCAGCCCGGCCATTGACTCGGTCGAGGTCACGGGTCACGGGTTCAACCGGAGGATCATGGGGTCACTACACTGACCCGATTTTATTTATTAAAAAAATTAAATATATATATCCTATATGAAAATATTAAAAAATAAATCACCAATCATCAAAGATTCAAAATATATTTAACATAATTCACCAATTACAACCACAAGTCAATATTACGCAACCTAATTAAAGTATCAAGATACCAAAGTACAAAACTCATATTCTAATGGAGTCACTACGCTGATCTAGTTCTGCCTCTTTTGATAAGGTCCTTGACAAAGAAAAATTTAAAAGAAGAATGAGTTTTTGTTTTCCATCGACGACCGTAAGGATTTCATTTGAATGAGTAAAATTCATACCTTTTTTAGAAGATTCACAGCAGCGAGGTGAAGATTGAAGTGTCTAGGTTGCTGGGAGAGAAGAGAACGATTGGATTTAGGTTTGCAAGAATTTTTATTTTATTTTTTAATAAAATGATGTTGTTTCATGGAATTAAAAAAAAAACATACAGTAACCCCCTTTGACCCCTCTGACCTGTGAGTCACTGAAATCCGACCGAGTTTTGGGAGTCGGAGAGATCGATATGCATATAGAGTCCAACTTGTGACACCGACCCTCAGAGAGGAGGGATAAGGATTGACCCGGGTCAACTGGGGGACGGAGTGAAGTTTTAAAACACTGAAAGTGACCTCATAATTTTCAAATAATATAACATTTTCTTTATTGTTTTATAATTTTACTTTAAATAGATAATAATGATAAAAAACATCCCTAACTAAAAAGAACCAAATCAGTAATTTAAAGACGAATTTAACAAATACAAAAATCTCTAACATTTTCCTTATATTTTTCACTCGCTTTTTTTGCAATAATTAATTCAATTTTAACATGGTTTTATCAAATTTAAAAAATTAGCGTAATTAATTTGTTTAAAAGTCTACGTCATAATTTTATCATGGCTCAAGTCTTCGTCTTCGTTTTTATTATATTTTGTAATATATCGATTAGCGGATAGGAACGACTTTGTCAATATTAAAAAGATTTATTATTGTATCCAAAATCCAAATATGAAATTCGGTTTAATAAACAATAAAGTTAGGTAACATTTTTTAATCATGTTATCTGAAAAGTCAACACACTACTCCTAAGTCCTCCTACTCGTCATTTTGCTTATAAGACCATCTAAATTAATAATATTCGAACATAATTTAAAGGGAAAAATTGGTCATTTCCTTCAAAACATTAAAGATCTTAAAAAAAAAAAACCAATGGTCATTTCCTTGAAACCAAGAAAAGATCAAGATTGATGTCTCTTTTATCATGAAGTAATTAAACAAAGACTTAAACAAAAATATTTGCCGGTCTTCTTAGCTTTCTCTTTAGAGATTGAGCCTTTTTAGTTGACTCATAAGTCATATTATTGCACCAATCATGCATTGGTAGAAAAACATTATAAGCTTAATAAACGACTCGCCTTCTTTGTGAAGAGCTTAACATCTTGGTATTTTCTTCATTCGTTTTCATGATTAATATATGGTTTCGTGGGATGTCACAACTCACAATCATTGGTCAAATCACAACTACAATTTAAAATTTTAGTGTGTACGAATGCGGTTTAATATCCCATTCCAGTAGTTTTTCTCCGTCAGTTACATAAAATAATAAAACTTGATAAAGTTTTCTTTTTTTTTTTTCTAAAAAATGAAACTATTAGTTAAAAAAGGTTGTTGTAATTCATAAAAAATAAGGGATTTATAGCTCTCTTGTCAATGTAAAAATAAAAAATTTCTGCAGCAACACGAGGATACAGTTTCATATCTTGGTGTTTTTTTTTAAAACAAGTGGGATCCACTTGCTTGTGTCTGCTGCACCCAATAAAATGTTGCAGCAACTGCAGAGATGCAAAGTCCAAAAAATAATTATTGTGTGATCAAGAAACAATTCATAAAAACCAAACGTAAAAATATGCAAATTCTTTCAAAAATGATATAAATGATCAATATTATAAACTAAGCATCTAATTTATTAAATATATGAGTTGTTAGATATAAACAGATCAATTATTAAGATTGAGTATAAAACTTTTTATTTTTACACCAATTTAAGAATAACCCTCCTATAATAAATAAATTTGAAAATTAGTAATCTATTTTAGGCATATAAAACTTACTAAATTGATTAACAATTTAATATTTATTTTCCACAACCATGCCCCAAGCTCTTTTCCTGTAAAGGAATGGCTACATATGTGGTGTTTTTTTACAATACAAAATTACAAAAACATTATCCATCTATCTATATTTGACCCTTTCTAGAGAAAGACTCTTTGAACAAAGAGAAACATCATAGCTTATTATTCATAGCCCTTGCCTTCATCATTATTATGAGGAAAAGACATTGTACATGGAGGTATATCACTTGGTGACTTGACCATGGACTCAACCATATACTGCCTCCATAAACCACCCATTGGACATGCCATAGTTTCAGAACAAATCTCAACAGCTCCTGCTGGTATGGTTGGTTCAAATCTCAAGAGCCTTGCATATTCAGTTAATAGATGAAACATATAATCATACACAAACTTCATCTTTAGCTTCTCTTGAATGAAGCTGGCCCCTGCTTTACCAATAGCTTCTGCCTAGTGAAATATACATAAAATTAATAAGGAAAGAATCTGCTTACAATTTTTTTTATAAATTACACTATGTACTCCTGAAAGTATATAGTATAATCTAGTATACTTTCAAGAGTATATAGTGTAGTTTGTGAGAGTTTATAAACAAAATGTTTGTAAATATAACCCTCCTCAAATTAATAAGTACAAAGATATAATTTAAAAAAAATGAAGAAAATTAATAGGGTCTTTTAGGATCAAATTCACCATAGCCGCATGGATAGGGTTTATTTTTTATTTATAATATATCAACAAAATTTGAGAGCGAATCTTAGAGCATCGGTAAAGTTGTTTTTTGTAACCAGAAGGTTACAATTAACCCTCACTCCTACCTTATCAAGTCGGGTAGCCTTCTGTATCGAGGTTAATTGCAATTTAATATAACAGCAAAAACAAACTTAATTAGAGTATGATGGTAGATGAAATATATAGATTTACCATGTGTGGATGAGTATTGCCCCAGTCTACAGCATACTTAATATCTTCGCACGTGTTTTGAATGCTGATGGGCCAGTAGTGCCGATAAGGTACCATGCTTCTTGTAAAGAAATCGTAATATGTAGGCTCTATGAACAAGGTCACAGAGTCACATGCTATTATATACTTTTCACTCACAGACCATGCTACCCCTTCCATATAAATCTTGTACCTTCATATGAAAAGTAACACAACCAAATCTAACAATTTGCTGAACAAAAGTATCTATAGATAATAAATCACAACACTTAAGTTATAGAAGGAGCATGAAAATTTTATTAGATACTTAATTACCTGTAGGTACATTGATCTTCTAGTTTTGTGTTCCGGAAACCTTGTTCAATTTCCTTACTCCAGTGCTGAAAAAACAAGCAATTCATTATATGTATGTTGAAGTTTTTAACAAACTCATAATATTTACATTTGACATTATATATTTAATTACCACTGAATATATACGAGCATTCGAATCATGTTGGTCTGTGGCATTGCACTTCCTGAGCTTATACCTGTTCGGGGACACATGTGTGTTGCCTTTCCAAAAGGCATAGGGTACCCTATCCTTCCATTTGATCCTCTTGTTGCCTTCTTGTATATCCTGCAGTACTGCCACCCATGGTCTTATTCCAATCTCAGCCCTTCAAATTAAAGGAAAAAAAAGTAATGTTTAAGAATTAGGAAGATTTGCTTTCCTTTAATTTTGTTTTGGTTTATTAAAATAAGAATTTGGATTTTTTTCATTTTCTTAAGAAAAGAAAAATGTCAATTTATAAAGAAAAAAATATGTTTGCTTTTGCTGGAGAAACAGTTAGTATGCTTTTACTGTAGAAATGTTTTATCCGTCATACTTATATAACATTAAGGTAAGTAGGTTGCATTATTAAGAGAAAAGGAGAAAAAATTCATGAAATCGACTTACTTTTATATGAGTGAGGTAGACAAAATATTTGTGTAGCAAAAGCAGAAATGTTAAACACATTTATAAAAGAGAAAAACACAAATTTCTTTGATGCAGATACGTTGAGTCTTTGCATAAGAAAATTGTATATTTCTTTTTTGGAATATATTTATCTCATGTTGCATAGACAAGATAGTGTGGTCCACTATTTTTTTTTTAAAAAAGAAAAAAATGGTGGATCTCACTACTTTGTTTATGTTACATAAGATAATTATCTGATGCAACATGAGATAATTATTTTCCTATTATGATGCTATCATGTTTTAAAGAGGATACAAATCCTTGAAAGAAAAGGATATAAATATAGAAGTTAGTATCAAATTAACATTGGAGAATCCCAATAATCTCAGCTAAAACAACTAGTAGTTCAATGTAGAAGCTTTACCAACCCCAGAAGGACCAATCAGGAAAGACAATGTCAAAAGTGCTTTTGTTCCCACAGTAATGAAAAAGAGGTGGTGGTGACATGGCTTCTGGTCCTTGGAAGTGTTGTTTCCCCACCACAGGTACATCTCCAGTCCCAAACAATAGCTCCAAATCTGGTATGTTACCCGGGTATAACCTTAGAAGCTGTAAAATTCCCCATATTGTGAACACATCCCTGGTCTGATATGAACCTTCATACTTTTCTAGATAAGCTTTTCCTTGTATAATCACAAGCCTAAACTGTGAAGCATTTTCCCCCCTCTCCAACATTTCCCTTGTGATTCCTGTACTCTTCCATGGTTTTAGATCTTCATGGATCCATTTGAAGTACTCTGGACATGTTGATGCAGTTGATGAATCATGATCATACTCAAATGTTGTAAGGTAATCCTTTGGACAGCTTGTTGTTATGCTTCCATTGAAACAGTTCAGAGTGAATTGAGTTTGTTGCCTATTGAAGGTTGAACTTGTTTTAGAAAGAGTACTTTTTTCTTCAAACTGAAAGACAATAAACCAATGAAAAATTGTGTGTCATTTTAAAGGATGTAAAGTTGTGTCATTTAAAAAGACAAACACTTTTCCCATAAAACAATCGTGTGATAATAACCTGTTAGATGAAATCTTGTTGACTGTATAAGAAATGTTATGCAGAAGTGCATAGATAGCTTGCACAATTTTATGTGTATATATTATGATATAAAAGATGTATATAATTCATTCTGTATTGTACATCTAACATTTCCTTCAAATAAACTATAAGATTCTCAGTTTCTATTCTTTCCCTTTCTCTTAGTAATACAGTTACAATCACACAACAATTATAGATGGTATACACATTGAGATTTAAATATTATTTTTTGTTTCCTCTATTTCTAAAACCTAGATATACAGTTGTCATGAAATTTATATATATTTGAACTCACAAGAATTACTTGTATTTTACATTCAAAATTACGTACTTTCAACATAGAGGGAGGATATTCTTACTACCAAAATTTTCTACTTATAACTTTACTACCTATCTAATCACCATTGAATTAAAGAGAGAAAATGCTAAAAAGTTTTTGAAAAAAGAGAAAATATTGATCCAATGGTGATTGGATAGGTAGTGAGTTAGTAGTAGAAAATATTGATAGTAAGAATATCCCTCCTCTTCAACATAATCTTACGTGGTGTATGATTGAGTCTTTATCATTTTACCCTAATTATAGATGAGCTAACATAAAATATTCAAGATGATGTGTCACGGTATATACTATTTAAAGATTATATTGTTCTTATTGACGAAACTAAAGGATTTATGTTAAGTCGAAATAAGATTAAAAATATTAAATGTGAGTTCATTACGACGAGAGTAGGAAATAAATAATTCAGGTATATGCTAGAACAATATCTTAAATAGATTCATTTAGATATTTGAGGGAAAATATATTGATTACGACATAAGCCAGAGAATTAGACCAAGTTAAATAAAACCAAGAAGTGCATTAAAATGTTTATGTGATCATAGAATCCCTCTTAAACGAAAAGGAAAATTTTGTAGCTTGCAATGCTACATGAAATTCAATGTTGGTCAACACAGAAATAATATGAACATAAAATGAGAGTAGCAGATATAAGGACGTTATGATAGATGTGTGGTCATACAAAAATGAATAAAATAAGAAATGAAATATTTAACAAAAAGTTGAAGTAGCAGTACCAATAGAAGAAAAGATGAGAGAACATAAATTGAGATGATTATAACATATTCTTCGAAGGCCTTAGATATACAATAAGAAAAAAAAAATTGTTACCAAGAACATAACAAAGAAACAAAAAATAAAGAGGCCGACTAAAACTTATTTTGCAAAAATAGTAAAAAAAAAATTAATGAAGTGAATATTGGGTTGACATGTAATTTGTCTTAGAACATACTGAAGGAAAACTATTAAAATTGTGGTAGAATAGAAGTTTTCTATGGTTTTGATTTGTTTATTATTTATCTTGTTTGCATTATATATATACATATATATATATATATAGAGGTAGGATCCTTTGACACCAGTGTCAAATTTGAATTTTGACACCTTATCTGAGAGCCACTGGATCAAAAAAAATCAATGGTATCATATGAGCCACAAATCAGAGTCGTTGATTTTTTTTTATCCAATGGCTCTCAGATGAGGTGTCGAAATTTAAATTTAACACCGGTGTCAAAGGATCCTGCCTCATATATATATATATATATATATATATATATATATATATATATATATAGGTAGGATCCCTTGACACTAGTGTCAAATTTGAAATTTGACACTTCATCCGAGAGCCGCTAGATTAGAAAAGATCAACGACTATGATTTGTAAGCATCTGCTTTATTAATTATTTTTTCGTTTGTTCTTGTTTATTTACATAATTGATCTGCTTTTTAGTTTGAAATAAAGATAATACCGATGTTATAACAAATTACTTGCTTTCAACATTTTCTAGTTGATAATTACTACGATATGGTAAATTAGTGTTTATTTGCTCTTGTTCTGGTCAGCTCAGTTGACTGGTCTACAATGGTCAGCCCAATGCCAAAGGGCCCATGCCACATCCGTTACTCCTACCCAACAACGTTAGAGCAGCCTCGACAGTGCTACTGTCTCTGCTCAAATGCAACAGGCTTTTAACCGTAAGACATCAGAATGTCTTACGTTGGGGGATTTCCCCTCCCTTTTGCCTCCTCAGGTATCCAAAATAACTTACTAGGAACTCTTCTCTCTCACCTTCCTGCACAGCAGCTGCTATCATCATTACAACAGCTGCTGTCAGCATTACAACAGCTACAAAGTGCCTTGCACCTGCAAGGCCAGGCTGACTGATATGGCTCTTCCCTATAATAGTTGACTTAGCTCACCCTTCCACCAGATTGGAACCTATAAATACCCTTCTTTATCTCTACCAAAGGGATACAATATCACTTTTTCATAAGCCGTTACTCTGTCAATTTAGAGAACCATTGTAGCCAGTGGCGGACCCACACTTGAGCAAGTGTCCGCAAGTGCGGACACAAACTTTCCTCCTCTCTTTTTTTCCTTCTTTCAAACAGAAGCAACGAGATTTTCTGGCATGGCTTCAGAGTGTAACAACTTGTGCACCTGTTGTAAGTAGGGGTGTGCAAAATAACCAAAAAACTGAACCGAACTGAACCTCCCCTTAAAATAATCGATTTTTAAAGAACCAGTTCATGAACCGAACCGATTTTTAGAACCAGTTTAAGAACCGAACCATTTTGAACCGAACCGAACCGTTTTCGAATCGAACCGAACCGTTTTCAAACCAAATCAAATTGATTTTTATAACTTTATTTTTTAAATTTTAAATTTTTTTTCTTTTCAAAAGAGGTTCGAGCCGAACCGGTTCCGAACCGAACCATTTCCGAACAGTTCCGAACCGAACCATTTCCCACCGAACTGAACCCCTTCCGAACCAAACCAGTTTTGAATCGAACCGAACCACTTCCAAACCAAACCATTTAAACCAATTCGGTTCAATTTTTCAAAAAAATCGATTCGGTTCAACCCATAGACATCCCAAGTTGTAAGAACATAAAAGAGTTCAGCAAACTCTCCGAGTTCAAGAAACTCTCATCCTCAGACCAATCATTCCATTCTTCTACAAAAAGAGCACATAAAAACCCAGTCAAAAGTTGCCCTTTTCTTCTCTAAAATCCCGTTCTTTCTTTTTCTCTCTCTGAAATCCTAGTCTTGCTATGACCACCACCTTCACCTTCAACTCTCTCCTTTTGTTTCTTATTCCTACATTAGCTTAGCTAGCTCCGTTATATATACATCAAACCCAAACAACAAGCAACTAACAAAACCAGAAAATGCCAAATCACAGCTGCACCAACATCTCTATCTATCTCTAAATACACACACATATTTATAGATACATTCATTCTTTATCTATTTCTTTATTACAACTATATTATTCACTATTCAGCAGACTTAACTTTCTATTCATTGCCCACGATGGAAAAAACAAACATAAATAAAAAAAAAATTTATTATTATAATAAAGGTTTTATATATGTCATCTTATAAGAAACTTGTAATGTCATATTACTCTAATACATTTGATGTGGGTCCCATTCAAAAAGAAAAAAGAAAACAAGGTGGGGCCATCACTTTTTCTGAGAGTAACATGATGTTACAAATTTCCTACAACATGATATATATAAAACTCTTATAATAATTAAAAAGTTTTATTTTTAGTTAAAAAAGTTAAAGAAAAATATTATAAAAGTGGGGTTATAAGATAAATACCTTGTACTTTTTTGTGGAGTAAAAGAGTAATACTACAAGGTAAATTATCTCGATAACACTTCCAAATGTGTTAATGGTGATCAGAAGGTGCACAGATTTTTTTTTTTAATGCATTTAAATTTTTTTTAAAAAAAAAAATTGGTAATATTGCCCCCGAGCCCCTATCACAAAATGTGCATACACAAATAAAACCTTCTGGGTCCGCCACTAATTGTAGTCATTCAAATACCACCCTCATTGATACACATTGCACTTGCACCTGGGACCTTCTTATATAGCTTTGGTTTATACTATTGTTGTTAAGGACCCCCCTAGAGTGACCTTTACAGCCCTTGGGGTTACATACTTGGCTAGTCTCAGTAACGGTTTGTGTCATACATTCTTTTTCTCATAAGTTCCTAAATAACATTATAATTCTAATATAAAAGAAAGACGAGACTGCAGAATACAAAATGTGCTTCAGTACTGAGAAACGAAAAAGCTCATTGAGCATCAAAAGCAAATGCATGAATATCCTAAGCGCAAGTAAACATAGATACCAATTAAAAAAGACTGTGTAAAATAAGAATCACATAAACGAGAAATTGAGAAAGATGAATTTTAAACCGAAACATCAAAAAGACAAGAATTTAAGAGAGGCTTACAAGATCAATCGTATAGATTTTGTTGCTCCAATCAATTACAGTCACCAAACAGATGAAGAAAATTGTGGCCAATAAAACCCATCTAATATTCATCATGCTAAGTCGTTGATAAACCTTCAAATTAACAAAAGCTGCGAGCCCAGTGAAACAAGTTAGCAATGTAGTTCCACCATTTTGTCTCATGAGAATGAATTTTGTACATGTAGTACATAATATTCACCTACCACACGAATTAAGATATTCGTGAATAATTTAATAAACCTATTTTTGCAAGCGGATGCACATAAAATAGATTTTTAGATTGAGAAATTGTGGTAGAAAATATGAAAAATAGGTATTAATTCCTTACTGAAATAATGCCTTATTTATTCTGATGCCAAATTTGCTAAACATTAACGCGCTCAATGTTCCATACTAAATGCATGTTTTGTTTGGTTTTTCTCACCAACCTAAAACCGCGTTTGAGCAATAAATAATTTTCTCATTTCAGGATACTTTCCTTTAATGTGCCGATTCTAAGTGCTTTTTTTAGTACATCTATAAGAGCTTTTTAAAGTGTAATGAATTTTTCCAAAATTTTAATTGATTATAATTAATATTGAAAAATTAATTTTAACAACTAAAGCTGATAATTTTAGAAATATTTATGATTAAATTCTAAAATTTATTAAAGATTAATTAATTTATTTACAAATAGTGAGTGTATGAATTGTACGAATTCTTTTAAATTCATTTATAATTTTTTTAAATGAATTTAGACCAAAATAACATAATTGGTTAAAAGAGAATTAAATTTATTAAAGTTTAAAAAAATTAAGAACGACACACATTATTATTTTAGGGAGAATATATATAATGAAGAATAACATATATCGTTTTTTGAGATAAAATATTTTTAGAAATTAACTTACTCCTAAATAAATATATTATTATTCAATAAATAATAATAAAAACCAAATAATGATAACTCAGTTAGCGCTAGGGAACTGAGAAACATGTGTTCAATCATTTCCAGTACTATCTTTGGGAGGACTTTGAAGCCTTAATCCTGAGACTCGCCTAAAATCAGATTAATCGCAAAGCGATGAACCGATTAGAATATTTAAAAAAAAATAAAAATAAAAATAAATCAATCAATTCTTTCAATACTAATACCATTTGAATTGAATTCTTTCTGTAAGACTTAAAAGTCTAATGGCATACTCAATCCTAGAATTGGATGCCTTTACTTATTCATACCAAAAATAAGATTCTTACATATCTTAATTTTTTTTAATGAATACTAATGTAATGAAAGATATTAATTAAATCCAAAACTGATTCAGAGGATTCAATCGAATACAATACTGTACTTAAAAGAAATTCAACTTATGGCATGATTGGTTCTATTTTATTATCGAATTACGATTGACAAACCACCGCAAATTATGTCGTGATAATTTTTTCAACCGCAGACAAAACTGCTGCTTGAGTCAATGGTAGTAATTTAACCTCGGTTACAATTGACATTATAATTATTAAAAGATTAATCAAGAGAATATATGCATATTGAGCACAATAGTTCAATAATTAAATTTAAAATGTAGCACGGTATTCATAATTCATTTCTTTAGCAACAATGATGAACGTTCAATGATTTCAAATCTATCCACTAGGGTTAGCCTAGGTTGGCAAAACGGGCAATTCGGCTCAACTCGCGTGCAACTCGAAAAAAATGAGACGGATTAGGATTGATTGAAAAGAAAAAACAAGCTCGAAAATCCAATCCGAACTGAGTTAGGGTTGGCTCGCTGGTTAGCTCTAAAATATGACTTGTGGGTTGCTTGAAAAAATGGCTTGCGGGTTGGCTCGAAAATTGGCTTGCGGGTTGTCTCGTTTTCAGCTTATTTAAAATGAACCTATAGTATTAATGCATGTAGCTTCCATCAGCTTAAACAGTACAATTATCTTACGGAATAGTTTATAAAAAAAAAAAAAAAATAGAGAATGTTTACAGAATGAGAAGTAAAAGCAAAATGTTATAGTTTTGAATTTTCTTCACAACAAATTTGTACCAACATCGAGAATTAATCAGAACCACTTGCTACCAAGTGGGTAAGATATTTGAACCAAACAGAGACAACAATATAAAAATGGTAGCGATGTGAGAAGATTATAGACTTAAATTTAGAGAAACAAGAAAGACGATGACAAAGTGTGTGAGTTTTGTCCATTTTTGTTTATTATATTTTGTATTTAAAAAAAAAAAAACTCAACCCGCGAGTTAGTCCGTTTGACCCACGGGTTGACTAGTTTTTTTCCAAGCTGGCTCGAGTCAAATTGATAGCTCATTTTTGTCAACTCAACCTGACTTATTTTTTGACGAGTTACGAGCCAACCTGACCAGTTGGCTATTTTTGCCAACCCTTAGTTAACTTAGTGGTGTGGATGTATATAATAGGATGTGTGTTAGTATCAGTTGTTGTGTTGGATTCTTGTAACCTTAAAAAAAAATGATTTCAAATCTAAAATGTATGTAATTATATGCAAGATTTTAAACTCATTAGATACAAGTGCATAATGCTTGGAATGCGAAAGAGGTAAGGGAGAAGAGATGAACCTGAACTGGCACTTTGTTCATTGTGTCCATTCATCTCATGCAGATAAAACTCGATAGTGGATTTTGGGGTTGTGTGATTCTATGACTCTAAACAAAGGGGGATCAAGACAAGGGTGATTTTGGGGTTCTAGTGAAGCAATAGAGATATCTGATTATAAGACAGGAGTGATGGTGATTATAGGGTTTTATTAATCTCATGTTAAAGGAGATAAGTTATCTCATGTCATAGATATAAACTTGTGGACTCCACCACCTGAAAAAAAGTGGCACAGTTATCGAAAGGAAGGTGTGTAGGAAAAAAATTTATCACATACAACATAAGAGTGGTTTTTTCCGTGATTATAAGACGACTCATATGAGGGTAGGTAATTTTTTATAAGAAAATTATGAGAAAGAATTAATGAGGATTAATTAATGCGAATGAAGACTGATATTCCAAATTTATGCTCTTTGTAGTTGGTCAAACTCTGAAAAATTGTCGTTATCTTTTTTAATCTTTTTATATTAGTTTTATTTTACTTTTAAATTATTACAATTTATAAGGCATTAATTATTTTATAATATTTTATTTTATTTCTTTCTTACTTTGTGCTGCTGCACTAGACAAGTAATAACAAATTGGCGATGGTGAATTGGTGATTACAAGGTGACAAGAAAGTGATAAGATTTTATTAAAAAATTTATGAGAGAATGACTACCCGTGAGTGTGAATAAAGATTAATATTGATTGTTCACCAAAAAAAAAAATTAATATTGATTTTATTCTATTTTTGAATCATTACCATTTATAAGGCATTAATTATTTGGATTGTAACAAAAAATATGTAATAGTTTATTGAAAAGATTATATTCACAAATTTGTTTTATACAAACTTTTACAAACTTAATTATGTATTCTCGAAAATAGTCTCAGATAAAAGTATATTCCTAGAAATAATTTGAATTTTTTTTTACAAAATATAAGTTATAACCTACCCGTAGCTTAGCTATTTAATTTTAAGCTAGAAATAAATATAGGCAAATGTATTTCTTCTTTAATATAAGAAAAATTTTCTCTAATAAATGATTTTTAATAAAATCTGACTAGTAAGACTTTATTATACTAATAAAGCTGTTTCGTTTTTATCTTTCTTCAAATATTATTGACTGACTGATGTAATGGAGAAAGAAAAATAATTTAAAAATCTTATTAATTAGATTTTATTAAAAAAAAAATTATGGGAAAGAAAAAAATAAGGACGCATAGATAAAAGTTGACAAAGCACATGTGCATGATAAGACCACCTTTGATAGTGGGACCCATCTTGGTTGAGAGGGAGTTATCAGTTATCCTCATATGTGAGGACGTGTCACTCACCAAAGCTTAGCTTTGTCAGTCCACACCCCACAATAACAGCGCGTGTAACACACCGTCCAAGCAAGTTCGAAGCATCAGCATCCCAAACCACAGTGAGTGTCCATTTTGCCATATTTTGTTATCTCCACAGAATTCAGCACTGATCAAAATTCAAAAGCTGCTATTCTTGGTGAAAGATTTGGTCACTCTTCTTGAAGCTCACAACTCATAACCCTTAAAATTTTCCAAGGTAAAAACCTGCACATACTTAACAGTTTCATTGTTTTAGTTTCTTAGAAGGCATAGAGAAAAAAAATAAAGTGTATAAACGAAGTTTGTGGAAATTGGAATGATTTACATAGACATAGATGTTAATATAAATATGTAGATATGCTGCTGAGCTCATTTAAATGTCACTCTTGAAGCCCAGAAGCCTTAAATTATAAGGTAAACAAATACAAGGTTCCAAAGTGAAATCTCTCCTTTTTTTATCAACAACTACAATAATAGAAAAGAAAGAAAGGAGGAAAAAACTCATAGATAAATTTATCCTGTTTCACTAATATTTCATTATATTCTCCTCACCGCAATTGTTATAAAGGGAATATAAATAGACTTAGAAATCCCCATTGGCTTTGTGTATGTATGTTGCTAATAAAAGTTGGTATAAATGCGAGTTATGAGTCATACCCAATATTTTTTTCTTTCTTTTTTCATGTTGTTGACAGTATGTGGCTCTGCATGCAGGAATAAAGTAGCCTGTGCACAACCAATTCACAAGAATTTGAGCTGGTGAAGATGAATACCATATCACTCATAAGTGGAAATTATATGAATGGAAGAGGACTTGAAGATCGAGCCACTGAATTGACACATACATGCTTTGGAAAAGACTACCTTGCTAATTATTTTCTAAGAAGTTCATCCAAAAGGGCAATTTGTATTTGGCCAAAGTATTTAAGCGGTTCAAGGAATACAAAAGACCAAAGGTCACATGTTGTTGCAAGGATTAGAAAGGGAAAGAAGCATGATTATCCATGGCCTGATAATATTGATCCAAATGACAGTAGCGAATATTTCACTCACCTGTCTCACTTTAAGCCTCTGGCTGAGAAACCAAAACCTGTAACACTTGATTTTGAGAAGCCACTGATTGATCTAGAAAAAAAGATTATAGAGGTATATTGAATTTTTTTGCTTGAGGACTTTTCATCTAAAGATTATATAAATTTTTGTTATCAAAAAAAAAAAAAAAGATTATATAAATTTTTTATTAAATATATAATAGTATTTTAGAATGCCAATTTAGAACTCAATTTTAGTTGAGCAAACATAATTTGAAGAATTAATTGTGGCTTAAGGTGGCTGGGAGTTCTGACAAGTAAACCTCAACCTCATTGTCATGGTCATGTTGTTTTGTTTAATCTGTTTCTTGCAGGTACGTCGAATGGCAGATGACACAGGCTTAGACTTCAGTAATCAAATTGGTGCTCTGGAGAGCAAGTATCAACAGGTAAATGGAATCAATATCTAGTACATTATTAGATGCTTTTGTAAGGTTATTGAACAATTGTATTCATTATATATAATATATATATGAGCAATATGATCGAATAAATCAAGATGATAAGGGATCATGAGATCTTTTTCTAGTGTAATTAAGTTCAAGTGTAGTGAAGGTAGAAGTAGGTAGCATAGATGTTGGTGCAAATATCTATTAAAATGATTGTCACACTTCAATATAACTCTCACATTGTCATAACTCCAAATTTCTTCATTTTGAGCTCAGGCTCTGAAAGATCTATACACTCATTTGACACCTATTCAACGGTTGATGATTGCTCGACATCCCAATAGGCCAACAGTTCTTGATCATATACTTAATATCACAGAGAAGGTATTTATACTCTCTCACAACCTTTCCAACTAATTGAAGACAGTTTCTTACTACTTTTATATTTGTTCCTCTTGGATTCTTTTAGTGGATAGAGCTTCATGGAGATCGAGCTGGCTATGATGATCCAGCAATTGTTACTGGTATAGGGAGTATGGATGGAAAAAGTTATATGTTTATTGGCCATCAGAAAGGTAGGAACACAAAGGAAAACATTGCTCGCAACTTTGCAATGCCAACTCCTCATGGGTATGCTTCATAGTTCTATTGATTAGACTTTCCACCAAATACTTGTAAAGTAACTAAGTATTGAAGCAATGGTGGTATGTGAAATTTGAAGTCATTATTTTTCTGGCCAGCCCAATTAATTGGCCCAATATGGCCGGCCCAATAGAAAGCCCATACTACCCCTGCTACACCTACCCAGCAACATCAGAGCAGCCTCGACAGCGCTGCCATCCCTGCCCCACGCAACAGGCTTTTCAACGTAAGACACCAGAATGTCTTACTTGGGGTATCCCCCCACTCCCCTTTGTCTGCTCAGGCACCAAAATGCCTCCCCTCTTATGACTTTCCCTGCACAGCGGCTGCTGCAGTGCTGACAGCAGCTGCTATGTGCCTTGTCCCAGCAAGGCACAGGCTGTCTTGGCTCTTCCCCATAATAGTTGACTTGCTCATTCTCCCACCAAATTGGAACATATGAATACCCCCTCTTCTCTATCAGAAGGGCACACAAGATCACTATTTCATAAGTGGTTACTTTGTCAACTTGGAGAGTCATTACAGTCATTCAAACACAACCCCTATTGATACACACAACACCTGGGACCGCCTTACATAGCCTTGGTCCATACCATTACTGTTAAGGACACCCCTATAGTGATCGCAACACTCTTCTAGGTTACATATAAGGCTCTCTTAATTAACCAACGGTTCAATTATGTTTGCTTCTTTTTATAGATATGTTTAATATTCTTCCTTGTCTCATCACAATTAGCTTTCATGATTCTTAGCAATCTTGACAAAATATTTTATTTGCAAAAACAGTTATCGCAAAGCTTTGCGCATGATGAAATATGCTGATCACCATAAATTCCCCATCATTACATTTGTTGACACTCCTGGTGCCTTTGCTGATCTAAAGTCTGAGGAACTTGGTCAAGTGTGTGCGCCTTGTGCTTGACTTTGCTAGTTGGATTATTACATATTTAATGTCTTAGATTCATTCACATTGGTTAATCTACTTATGAAGGGTGAAGCAATAGCCCAAAATTTGAGGACTATGTTTGGCCTCAAAGTACCTATAGTGACAGTTGTAACTGGGGAAGGTGGTTCAGGTGGTGCACTTGCCATTGCCTGTGGAAATAAATTGTTTATGCTCGAGAATTCTGCCTTTTATGTTGCAAGGTAACAAATTGTCTTCCTCTCGTTTTAGTCATTACATTAAGCTTCTTTGTCTGTTTATTTTCTGAAATGATAGGGGATGTAAGTGTAATTTGGATAAACCTCATGCAAAGTAGTTTATTTATTCTTTTCATTTTCATCTTTGGCTGATTTTCCTTTAACAAAATATATATATATATATATATATATAATGGGAAAAACATTTCTCAAGCAGCTTGAGATAAGTTTATATCCGGCTATCCCAAAACTACATCGTTTATTAGCCGGAGATAAGATTATCTCAAGCTGCTTGAGAAACGTTAAGCCCATATATAATTTAACATGTTCATTGTCACTATTTCTAACCAGTCCTGAAGCTTGTGCTGCAATATTGTGGAAATCTTCCAAAGCTGCTCCTAAGGTTATCAATTATATAAACTTTTGTGGTTTTCCAGAATATCTTCTCAGCTATTTTTGTATTAATTGAAGTTAACTTGTATAGGCAGCTGAAAAGCTAAGAATAACAGCTCTAGAACATTACAGACTCGGAATTGCTGATGGTATTATTCCTGTAAGAACGTTTATACTTTACTGTGTTTCCCTTTCCAGTGACTATGTTTCAATATTTGTTTCACTTTAATTACGGGAGAAAAAAAAAAGTAAAGAAAAAAAACCAAAGAAAAGGAGCAAGATCTTCTAGATCTCTTTTAGTATGATTTTGTTGTCATAAATGTAAAGAACCACTTCAACCCAAAACCTTAAGGTGTTAGTGTTAAGTGATGGTCTTTTTTAATACTTTATATTATTCTCTAACAATAACTTCTTGGTGTTTTTAAATAATGTATGTTAAAGTTACTACTATGATTAACATGTAGGAGCCACTAGGTGGTGCGCATGCTGACCCTATGTGGACTTCTCAACAAATAAAGATTGCAATCACTCAAGCCATGGAGGTAATTAATGTTTATATATATACACACATGATGTTGTTACTCTAGTATAAGAATAAGAAGTTTTACATTCAATTTTAGCCGTTGATCTGCTTACATCTAACTACTCACGTATTTAATAAATCAGAGCAGTTAGATATAAATATGATCAACAGATGAGTGTAATTTACAACGGTGTAAGCCAATAAAAAGAAAAGTCTTATAAAAACACTGGAATTTACAACAGGAGCTGACAAAAATGAATGCAGAAGAGCTGCTACACCATAGACATCTCAAGTTCCGGTCAATTGGTGGCTTCCAAGAAGGCATACCTGTGGAACCAGAGAAGAAGCGTAACATGAAGCCATCTGAAGTAAACTCATCCAAGATTACTGATATAGATTCAGAGCTCAAAAGTCTCAGGAAGAAAATTTTAGAAGCAAAGGGACCATCTGATCCCATCACAAAGGAAGCAATTCAAAAGGTTGTTAAAGAAGTAGACCAGGAAATCACCAAAGCATTCATTTCAATGGGTTTGGCAGAGAAAGTTCAGAATGTTAGGATGGAACTATCTAAAGCCTCAAATCAACCTCTTAATAATAACTTAAAGGAGAAGGTGGACAAAATAATGCAAGAAATAAAGAGCAAGATGTCTCAGCCAGGTGCATATCTTGGATTGAAACAGAAGCTTCAGAAGCTAGACACTGTCAACAGGCTCATTGAGATGAAATCCAAACAAGAAAAGCTAAGACAAGAGCTCAATGAGAAACTTTCAGATGATATAAAAGCAAAGATAGCAAACCTGAAGCATGCTCAGGAAATGATATCAAATGGGGAATCACCAGACAAGGAATTGGTAGAGAAAGCAGTGGAAGTTACAAAAGATTTGGAAGAGTTCTTGAAATCAAATAACTTGGAGGTTGTTGGAGTAATGAAGAGAAGTGTGGTGAGTCCACCACCAGAGATAAAACAGAAAATAGTAGACTTGAACAATGAGATCATGAATGAAATTGATAGAGTGGTAAATGCAAAAGGTCTTAAGAGCCAAATTAAGGAGTTGGAGAATGAGATAGCACAAGGGTCAAAGTCTAAGGATATTGAAAAGATGGAAGCAGGTATTAAAGAGCTTATTCTTGCTGCATTGGATGTGACAGCACTGAAGGAAAAGATTGAGAGAGTGAGGGAGGATGTGGAATCCTCATCCAAGGCTATTTCTGAAAACAGGATTGGTATGGAAAATGGAAGATGATAAAGAAGGCTACGAAGTCTTGACAAATACATTATTATTTATTAACTTTGGTTTTTTCTGTTCAATCATGTAAATTAACATATTGGTAATAAACATTTAGCATAAAAACCAAAAAGAAAAAATGGTTACCTGGGACTAGGGAGTAGAGAGGACGAGAGAAATCCTTAAACTTGAAGACTTTGTTTGATTATGTTCCGTTTCTTTTTGTTCTTAAAATTATTTTGTAAAATAGCTATGAAACTGTTTTTTTTTTTATGTTTCGAAAGATAAAAGCCAAAACAGAAAATAAAAACAACCCAGACAAGATATGTTCTCTAAATTTGATTTTAAAAATAAAAAAGCAGTTATAATTTTTAATTTTTTTTTACCAAATAGGCCTTACTACATGGGGTTTTTTTTATTCTGAAAATCAAAAAATTGTTTTTGAAAATTGATTTCAAACAAGTCCTTGGTAAAGCAATCAAGCCCCTCTAATAGAGAATTTGGTGTGTCCTAATTATCCTTTTGGGCGAGTTAAGTTCTCCGATATTTTCATGATCTAAACGGAAAAAGACATCATGTTTGAAACTAATCCTGAGTTCAGTGACGAATCAAACAATTTTATTTATGTCTGCACATTTAAGGATGGGGTTCGGTGGCAATATCCCCGAATTTTTTTTTTAAAGAAAGTTTTAAACGTATTAAAAAACAAAAAGAATATAAACAAAAAAAAGGAAAGAAAACTGAAACTTACTACAAAAATAAAGTATTTTTTGAGTTCTCAACAAAAATTACGAGACCCAATTTAAGCCTTTAGAAAAAAATTAACTCGTGATCCCTCTGAATTTCAAAGTTTGAGGGACTAATGTAGGTCTTCTTTGAATTTTAGAGGAACCACAATTTCAACTAACCGGGTCTATTTTGGAATTCAGAGGGACCGAGAGTAGACTTTTTTTCTTTTAAGAGATTAAATTGGGCCGTGTAATTTTAACTTTTGTCGAAGACACAAAATATACTCTCTCTCTTTTTTCTCAAAAATTTGTGTGCACTTTGCACACACTTATACCAATACAGGTCCGCCCATGCCTGAGTTTAAGCGGTATGATAATTATCCAATTTTAATTCTAAAAATTCTCTTTACGAATTTTTTTTTTGGGCAATTCATCCATAGTGTGGCTCGTATTGTCACGTGTGTCTAAGTCCTGCATATCTTTGTATAAAGGGTGTACATGGAAATTCTAGCAGTAAAGAATACAGTGGAAAAGAAAAGTAAAGAGTAAAGAGCAATGCGAATTAGTTTTTCTCATTTAAAAATATAATTAAGTTCAATAACTTTGACTATGATTGTTTCATAAATATAAAAAAAAAAAGTAAAATAAATGTTACACTCATAAAGTTGGTTCATTTTCATGTTTGATGCGAAAAGGTTTTTTTTGTACCACATAAATCCATAAAATTTTGGTAAACAATGAAATTATTAAAATTGTTAGAATGAAGTATTAAATCTCGTTCAAAATAATATTTTATGTAATGAATGAGATAATTTACTAAATAGTAAGAGCAGTTATCGGCAAAGGTATGTGATTCCCATAAAGAAGAATTTTTTTTTATAAAAAAAAAAGGGAAGGTTATATATATGGGAAAAATGTTTGTTATTTTAAATGACATAAAATTATGTCATTTTAAGAGAGAGACAGACACAAAATAATTTTTTTAATTTAAATTTTAAATTAAAAAAAATCACTCACTTTCTCTCTCCCATGATTTCCATTTTTTTTGTGTCTATCTCTCTCCTAAAATGACATAATTTATGTCATTTAAAATGAAAAATATCAAACTCTATATATAAATATATATATATATATATATATATATATATATATATATAGGAAAAATGATTTATGCAGCTGCTGTACCTACAGCAAGCAAGGATCCGCGTCCGGATCATAGGATATACGGCACCGGATCTTGAGTTTTTTTTTTTTTAAAAGTCGTGGGGCCCACTTTTTTGTGTCAGCTGTAGATAACACTATCTACGGCAGCTGCAGAAATGTTAAGTCCATATATATATATATATATATATTTTGGTACAATAAGTGGCAAGGCCCCAAGGAAACAAAAAAAAAAAGGAATAATAAATACTTAAACAGAAATCACAGCAACAGCTTCAGAAGCAGAAACAGCAAACTCTTCACTAGGGTCAAGAGTATCAACAGAAAGAAGATTAACTAAATCCAAATGGGAGACGAGAACAATTAAGGCCAAAACATCTGTTGATAGCCTCTTTTGCAAGCCAATCCGCACACCTGTTGTTAGCTCTTGGCACGTGAGACAGAGACAAGCACCGATTTTTATTTAAAAAGTCTCGAATCTTAGCTACCAAAGGGGGATCTCGAGAATCAATACCAGAATTGGTAAGAAGGCTTAACGCTTGAATAGAATCACTCTCCAGTTCAATATTTCTCCAGCCCTGGTTCCAAGCAACTGATAATTCATGGAACACAGCCCACAATTCTACTTGCGGGGGAGAGCAAGAACCAAGGAAACTAGAGAAGTTACCAACCCAGGATCCATTAGAGTCTCGAAGGATGCCACCACAAGCAGCCTTTGCACCAATAACAGCACCATCTACATTTAATTTGATGCAACCTTGAGCAGGCCGAGACCATGAAGTAGAACCAGACACAACTGAATTTTTGATAAACCTTTGCTCTTTTGACAGCCTAAGAGCTTTCAGCTCCTCCAGATGATTAACAATAAGAATGGTGGGATTGTCAGGCCCCTCTTCATGCAGGTCCTTATTTCTCCAATTCCAAAGAAGATTACACACCATAAAAAAATAGTCCCTCCAGTCAATTGCTCGGAATTTTACCAGCTTTGTATTCAAGTTCATCCAATCACAAAACTGATGAGCAGTAAAGAACCCAGTAGGAAGGGGTTGAAAGATAGGAAGACGCCAAATGTTCTCTGCTTTAGAGCAATCTCTAAAAACATGTAAACAACTTTTCACTTTGTCAAGGCAGAATTTGCATCTATCAGATGAGTTACTCCATTTTGTAGTTCTTTCTTTGGTGAGCAATCTCTCGTGATTCATCTTCCAAATAAGGAATTTGATCCTTTCTTGACCTTTCCATCTCCAAATGTTGTCCCAATTAATTAGAGGCAGAGGGTTATTGAAAGCCATCAGCTTGCAGTAAGCTTGTTTGACCAAAGATTGGCAGGGGTTCCAGTCCTTCCAAGTAAAAGTATCTATGCTCGCCTCAATAACAGAGGAGGAATAGCCATAATGATGTTAATCACAGGGGTGTCAAAATGTTCACTCAGATACTGAAAATTCCAGCTACTATTACAAAGGAAAATAGGTTCTCCAATCTTGGAATTAAGATCAGCAGGATCAAGAGGATTCACAGCTGAAGAAAGGAAATTCTAACTTAGACCTGTCCAATTATCCGGCCAAAATTTGATCTTCTGCCCATCACCAATCTGCCACATCAAACTACCAATGACATCAGGCCAAACTTTGCATAACGCTTTCCAGAAGTGTGACCCTTATGACCCTTAATTAATAATTAATTACCAAATTGCCCTTCATTCAAAACTATTTCGAAAATTTACCCTCCCCAACAAACATAACATCAATCTGCCCCTGTTTGACCGTTGACCACGAAGCCTACCCGGGTACACCATTACCTACCCGGGTAATTTGTGAAATTTTTTTATCTACCCGAGTATGTAGGAGTGTACCCGGGTAGAGTTCTTGAATCTGGGAAAATGGTTGAATTATTTACCCGGGTATGGATCAGTGTACCCGGGTAAATCGCGTCCAGAAACCCCAATATGTATGGGTTTCGGCCATTGTTGCGAGGTATAGGGTTTTTGAAACCCCAAATCTCTCTCTCTTACCCTCTCTAATCCGAAACATCACACATATTTCATCTCATCATTTCAGAAAGCTGAATCTTGGTGGGACATTGAGATTACATCTCCACACTCCCATTTTGTGCTCAAAAATTCGAACGAACCTCCAAACCCAAAACCTAGATCTAATTTTTGTGTGAAAGATGAGTTCAAGTCCAAACATGGTTCCTATAGTTATTTACTACAATGGGAGGCATTTTGAAGGTCCGAACGGTGTCCGATTTGAAGGAAAAACAAAAACGATGAAAATCAAAGTGGGCACTATATGCAATGAACTGAAAGAGAGAATTCTTCAAAAAATGGGGTCAGAAGGTATACATTCCATCCACCGCATGATAGCCAGGTTAGAGACTGTAGTGGATATGGATACAATATACTACATTGGAAACGATATAAATGATGATGAAGATGTGGAGTTCGTAACATATGCGTTTGTTGAATGGAAAGTATTAAAATATATTGAGATATATGATGAAGTTGATGTTGGACAATCTTCATCTTTACCGGTGCATACAACCACTACTGCACACTGTACCGGTCAAGAAGATACAATTGTACGATCTTCTGCACCTCCTCAGGTAGCATTGGATGAGGATGAAGAGGATGAAGACGAGGACTATGTGGACAGCGAAGATGAGGGAGAACCTGAAAGTGCTATTCCAGAAGGTGATTCGTCAGACACTGACGTGGACGGTAATTTTGAGGCTGACATGAGCGCCGTAAGTCTCGGTACCCCAGCCTTGTCACCACTTCATGTCGACCCAGTCAGTAGTGGTAAGTTATTAAATTTGAACATTTGCTTTAGACAATTTATTATTTGTGGTGGTATTCATTCAGACAAATGAGAGTTGATCTTTAGATGCAGGGTCTAAGGAGCCATTCTGGAATGAAAGCCAACATTATTCATTCATTAACTGGGCGAACCCTAATGACGAGTTGGAGATCCTATATGGCGATGATGACTTGCACGGAGGTTGGAAGTTAGGAGATCCGTTATTTGTGCAACAAGAATTTGGGTCCAAACCAGAATTGCAACATGCTGTGAAGATACATTGTATGAAGGGGCGCATGACAGCCATAGTTGAAAAAAGCGACGAGTCAAGATTTGTTATGAAGTGTAAAAACCATGCTGACGGTTGTCCCTGGTATATGAGGGCAATTAAGCCGAAGAAGGGAGCTAATTGGGTGGTCCGTAAATGGGATCAAGGTCACACATGCCTAAATC